GCTTTGCCATTTAACAGAGTTTCTTACGACTGCTTTGCCACTTTAACCGCTTTGTCATGTTAACAGAGTTTTTTACTAGTGGGTTGCCACTTTTAGGTGTGTAAGGTTTTACTCGAAATTTTACTCAAACGAAGTTTCAATTTTCTTTTCGCGTAGGGCGCAATGAAGCTTCCCAACACACATATGCAATTTCCTAAAAATGCTCGAATCTCTTGCCTTTTGTTTACATTTGCTGAACAATTGAAGCGATTGTCTGGTTATTTCTGAGTAATGATCATGTTTTTATTTGTTCTTTTTTAAAGCTAACAGTCAACGATGTAAGGAATTTTGCTGGGTTTCCCAAATTAAACGGAAAACTCGCATATCCTAACGCCTTGGTTTCTATCATTGCACTAATTTTGAGAAGCGGACAAACAATCGCAATGAAATGCAGAAATTACAGCCCTTGGCCTAGGTTCAAAAGGTGACCACTTATTGCACGAATTCTCTATTTAGGAGAAGTTTATAAAAGATCTCATAAAGGATTTTATGAAAAATCAATTCAATCATCAAGCTAGAAAATCCCAATGTGAGAAACGATCAAAAAAAAAAAACGGCATTTCATGAAAATATCCACCACAAGCAAACAAACAAACAAATACGAATAGAGCGAATTGAACGGCTGGTTGCACGGCTTAAGTTTCTTTCATTTAATTTAGCAGCGATTGGCGATTGATTTAGAATAAATTCATGATTAAACAATATCCCGGCAAATAAATAAAAAAAGTTTATGTTCTTCTGCATTTTAATAATCATCCACATAGTAGTTAGTGCGACATTATTTTATTTATTTACTGTGAATGAATCTTTAAATGATTTGTCTTCTGAAACTTACTAAAACTAAAAGTACATACTACGACGATTCATTTCGGTTTTTTTTTTTTTTTTTTTTTTTGCATCGTTTATTTAATACTTAAAACAAAAATTTTCTTTATCTTTTTGTTTTTGTTTTTTGTAGTTGCTAACGCTACCGAATAATTTAAACACGAGTAAGTTTTGAAATACTTATAAATTATTTAGCAAATATGGAAGTTATATAGTAGTCTAAGTGATAATTATTATTATTATTTTTCTTTGTTTTTAGTTAATTAATTTTAAGTTATATAGAAAATATTAAAAAGAAGAAAAAGTTGTTCTTTATATTATTAGAAAATTTATACATACGTTTGTGTACTTAAATACAAATGTCATATAATATAACACATTGGTCAATTAAAATAAAAAATTAAAAAAAAAAAAATTAAATTATAAAAACCTAAATACATTATAAATTACAATAATTTATGTGAAAGGGTTACACGTATTATCAAATATGAATAATATGCTAATCTTTATTTATTATTTGTGGACGCTGGGTGCTGCTGTAATAGATAAGGGGTAAGGACTAAAGAAGCCACAACAATGTAATAAAAATATTTATCAATGTGCCATGAAATAGTGTAAAATTTTTAAATATAAACGTTGCACTAAAGGCCAAACGTATTCAATGATATATTGAAACACTGGACGCAGAGACGGAAACAGCATACATATATGATGCTGTACTGCCTCAAGCAGTACAATAGCCAAATGTCAGTTATTATCTTGTTCATTATTGTCATTGTCAAGATTGTTATTCGTGCTATTTCTATGATTACTTCTGTTGCTATTGTTGTTATTATTATTATTATTATTATTATTAATAATATGACAATTGCGGTGGTGATTGTTCTCTATATTTAATTCGATATAATAAGCATTCCTTCCGTCCTCTATTACTTCTACATCTTGTCTATTGTTTACATAATCATCGCTCTTATCACTATCATATGAGTATAACATATCTTCGCCGAACTTATGACGATGCGCCAAATTCTTATAAACGTGTAATTTTTTTGTTATCAATATAAGCTTCACAGGGATAACACCATACCGATAAATCACTATAACTTAACGCCAATGGATGCGAGGTATTCAGATTATGATATAGCATATGTTCGTTAACGTAACGGCCGCATAAAGTCTTTTGACACGTTAAACACATCCAATTTTCGGCCGTTGATAAGCATTCGCAACAGGTCAAAGTCGTGTTTATATCTATAAAACAAAAAAACAAAAAAAAAAAAAACAGAATAAAAAAAAAATATGTAAATAAATAAGAAGAAAAGTTAAATATCAAATAAATTGAGAAATAGAAATATATATGTATACATATAGATAAATTACTGATAAGAAGAAGCTTTAATATATATATATATATATATATCAATAAAAATAATTAAACAGTTATCCTTGTCTCCATTGAATCGAATGACATTCATATTTACCATGCCTTAGATACGAAAACGTAAAAGGAAATCAAATAAATTGTAAACTCAAAATACCTCCAAGTATAACTTTTCCGAAAATTTCTGCTATATACACAATAGATATCGAAAATCAGTCAAACATTGTCAATGTGGCTGCAGGCAAACCAGGCTAGGTTAACTATCGGAAGCGAAGAAGACGTCTTTTTCATTAAATTTTATTTATTTACAAGTAATCACACACACATACATAGTGGCAAGACTTGATATAAAAAAAGTGTTCAACTAGACTTCGCTAAGCGCTTGAACTTTTTCCAATATTTTACAATTTCTTCAATTTGGCAGTTTGTGGGACGAACACACTCCACTTCGAACAAGAATTATAAATCAATTATTGATTGAAAAGTTTCGTATAAAACAGTTCTCATCTTCTTTTTTTTGTTTCCTAAGTTCTTTCTCGAAAACTCAAAGTATATGACGAACTGTTTAGAATCTTTTGTGTAATTTTTTTTTTTTTTTAATTTAAACCCCTTTATAACTGTCTTATCATTAGGTATATATTAACAATTATTTCTTATACAATTTTGTCTCAGCGCTGGTAGCTCATTACAAAGGCTTATGATCCAAAACAAAAGTTATAAAAATTGTGAAATTGAATTGCATTAAGCATAACAGCAGTGAATAGGGTCAGGCGCATCCACTACATATTTGAAGCCGACAGCGCATAATTTGAGAAAAGAATGTAGAAAAGAATCGAAGGCCAAGAAGATGGACTGTTTAATTGAACTTGAATTTGAACTTTCGTTCGAACAACACGACAAACAACGACAAATCAACACACAAATTGATAGATATTAAAAAAAAAAAAACAATGACATTTATCCACGATCATCCAATAATCTTAAAGTAAAGATAATAGCAATAATAAAAAGATATTGTTATTGAGCAGCATTCGAACACTAATAGTTAAAAGCTGAATTCAGTTAAGATATTGTTGTTCGTCATTAAAGACAAACGCAAAAATGTCAAACAAATGATAAAAGATAAAAAGCAAGAAAATATTAAAGTGAAAATTAAAAAATCTATCAAAAGTATATAAGAGAAAAAAACTACAAAGCAAACAACTTCTACATAAAATTCAAAGAGCAAAAGACAGGTGTGTGCGCTTACATTTTGGTGCTTCTTCGGGCTGCAACTGAGACAGATGAGGGCAACTTTTTAAGGGAACGACGGCAAACATTTCATTATTTTGTAAGGCCTAAAATGTGAATGTTTTCAAGAGAGAGAGAGAAAGAAAAAAAAAAAAAAAAAAAAAACACAACACAAAACTTAAACTTAATTTATATAAAATTAATCGCGCAATTTACCTGTTCATGATCTGTGAGAAATTCTGTTAAGGTTTTTACTTTTACCTTCGGTTTGCTGCCACTAGCTGCCAATAATACATCATCGCCACCATCTCCTGAACCACCAGCTGCGCCCTGCACGTCATCCCTTGTGATATTTAAATTTTGCAAAGTTGCAGTAAGAAAATCCTCATTATTGTTCTCGTTCGAACAGCTGTCCGGTAAGCGTTTACCAAAAGTTAAACATTTCCAATACCGTTGCTGTATACTTATGCATTTCTGCAATGTCTCCAAACAGCTGATATACGCTACGGTGGGTGGACGTGAGACCGAACCATTAAATTGCACTGGCGGTATAGGATCGCCCAGTAAAGATTTTGTGCACATGGTCATCGCATAAGAAATGGAATTAACATTATAACCACCTTCAAGGCAGACAACAACGCGACCATTCGCTAATGCTAATAGCCAATGAGTAAACAAGCCATATGCCTCTGGTGTAACCTTGCAACCGCCGAGAGGATCACCGATAGCAGCATCAAACCCGGCCGATACCAAAACCAATTGCGGATCAAATTCATAAGCAATTGGCATAATTATATGCTGGAAAGCTAAAACATATTCCATATCGCCCATGCCCTTCTATAAATAATTATATATATGTAATAGCTATGTGCGTAGAATGATTAAAAATGAGTTTATTACCTTATTCCAGGGTATGTTAACGTTGAAACCAATACCGGGTCCCTTGCCAACTACATCATAGTCGCCATCTTTACCTTTAGGAAAGAATGAACCATTATCATAACGATGCACACTTATATATAAAACATTCGGATTTGATTCAAATATATGCTGTGTGCCATTTCCATGATGTACATCCCAATCAACAATTAAAACGCGTTTCAATCCATGATCTCTGATAGCATAAAGAGCAGCTATGGCGACATTATTAAATATGCAAAAACCATGAGGTTCATCAGATTCAGCATGATGACCGGGTGGTCGTACAATGCAAACGCCACAACGCGCTTCTCCTTTAAGGACTTTATCTATAACTTGTAAAACAGAACCGGCAGCCAAGGTGGCACAATCGAATGTCTTAGGATGAAAATAAACTGAATTATATTTTGCGCCGATGTCCTGTAATTCACCTTTGTCACCAATACGTCGTATTAAATTCACATGGGCCCTTGTATGAGCCAAGCAAATTTCATCGGTGGTAGCAGAACGTGATGATAATTGCTGCATACGTTCAAACAGTTTGTATTCATTATGCATTTCATAAATCTTACGTATACGTTCCGGTTGTTCAGGATGACCTTGCTCATAAGTGTTACTATGCTGCAGCATCAGCTCATCGTAAACATAACAAACACGTACGCGAGGTGAAAATAATTTCGTTTCTAAAAAAAAGAAGAGACGACTATTACAAGAGTCGATGTTTTTACAACAATTTTATTTATTTTACCAGCCTTAAGCCTTTGTAAACGCAAACTATACTTTTCCTCGATTTCAGGCGGCAGACTAGTTGCTGTGCCGCGCGTTGGAAATCTTTCAGGCAGTGGTGGTCCTTCGATAAAAACGCGATTAATTTTGTGCAAATTTAGTTGTGGATTAACGTTATTCAATTCCTCCATTGTGTACGTATCCTGTAATTGCAAGCACTTCCAATATGGACGATGAGCATAAATGCAATTCAATATCGATTCTTGTACGGATGAGCAAGGCGGCTCCAATTTTTCAACTAACATAGGACAAGGTTCTCCCAGTAATGCTCTTAATGTTAGAGCCGCCCCTTCTGCGAGCGAGTCCAGACAATAGCCACCCTCTAGAACTACAGCCAAACGTGAATTTGCTAACTTTAACAATGAATTTATCAAATGAGGATAAAATGCCGGCGTTACTTCCATTTCTCCTTCAGGACAACCCAAGGCAGCATCGTAGCCAGCCGACACAATAATTAAATCAGGTTGAAATTCAATAGCTACCGGTATTAGTATTTGCTGAAATATGGCCAAGTAATCTCCATTGCCCATTCCAGTCTTGTTCAAAGGCAAATTGAAATTATAACCTAAACCGGGCCCACAACCGATCGCATCAAAATCCGATTCCTTTAGATTGGGCCAAAAACGACCATATTCGTAACGATGTATGGAAAAATAAAGAACTCTAGAGATAATCCAAACAAAAAACTTATAGCAGTTGGTCGCTTCAAAAAAAAAAAAAATGCACCCAAACTTACCTAGAATCATGATAGAAAAATCTCTGGGTACCTTGTCCATGATGTATATCCCAATCGATAATCATAACTTTATTTAATTTTAGGACATCTAAAGCATACTGTGTAGCCAGTGCTACATTATTAAAGAAACAGTAACTGAAAAAAAATAAAAAATAAAACGGAATAAAAGATAACCAATCCATCAATAGGTGTTGTGCTCGGGGTCTATATTTTTTTAATTAATAAGCAATAAAATTAAATAAAACGCAATCATACCCATTAAATTCAGCTTTCATTGCATGATGACCGGGTGGCCGTATAATAGCCATACCATTTTGTATGCTACCGTTAACAATATTTTCAATTAAATCTATCGTTGAACCAACTGCTAATAGAGACAACTCAAATGTGGACTAAAACAAAAAAAAAAAAAAAAAAAAAAACAAAAAAAAAAAAACACAAAAAAAGGAAAATGAATACATTTTTATATCTTCTGCTAAGCCTTAGTTGTTGTAATGGTTACCGGATGTATATAGATGGAATCAAATTTCGAACTTAAATCTTCCATTTTTGTCTCGTCTCTATCATCTGATGTTTGTTCTAATAATTTATAATGTTCTTCGCTATGTAATAGCATTACTTCATCTTTAGTGGCACGACGGGATGATAACAGTTTACAGCGAGCTATTAAATTCAATTCACGGCAACTGCAATATAAAAATATACATTATTTATACATTTATACATTATGTAATACACATAAATATATATATATTATTTAAATAAAGTCATAAAAACTATTGCTATTAGAAAACAAAAAATGCATTAAATATATTTTTTACGCTACAGATGAAACACTAACAGTGTTCACATATATTTATTTCCCGCTTTCGATTGCGAAAATATTCATCTCGGAAACACAGTCGGGAACAAGTTTCCAAATGGAAACTTTCATCTTTTCCGAACATTACAATTTTATTAACATTATCAGGCGAGGCAATAGTAGTAATGAGTGCAAATGAGTCTACTAAGTTACAGGCAAACCTGTTTTTGTGCGGTATTTTTTATGCGATTCTTTTTGTGCGATACTTTTTTTTGTGCGACTCTTTTTGTGCGATTCTTTTTTTTGTGCGGTATATGAATATCGACACATTGAATTTCGCCGAGAGGTTAGGTCAATCTGAACTGTGTTGGTATCACTTTTTTTGCTATCAGTGTGTATATACACATTGCAACAGCCATTTTCATACCTATTGCATCAGTCAATTTCATTAGGCATGCTCAATGTTCTTATGCATAAATTGCATCAGCCAATTTCATTGGCTCATGCTCAATGAAAGACAATTACATTAGAAACTAAAATTGCAATATTAAATAGACTAGCAGATGGTGAAGGATCCACAGCTCTTGGTAAAGAATATAAATTAGGTGAATCCACTATAAGAGCAATACAAAAACGTGCAAGTAGAATGAATGAATCTAAAAATTCTGCAACAAACGAAAGTGGTAAAAGAATATCATATTCTAGAAATATTTTAATAGAGAAAACGGAAAAGGCCCTCATATTTTGGATTAACGACTCAACTCGAAAACGAATCTCCATCGACGGAGATTTAATTAAGGAGAAAGCTAAACAATATTTCAATCAGCTGAAGGATTTAGAACCGTCTAGTTCCTTCAATTGTGTATATCTGGCGTCTCGCGACGTTTACAAACAGCTGACCAAACGACCGTCGTCGCAAAAACTTATCACCGACTACATGTTAACAAAAAATAAATCAACTATAGTATCTTCAAGTGACGAAAGCGATTACGAACCAGTTCATCGCAAAAATATGCGCGTTTTGAACTACGACGAGTAGTATTGAATTATGTACATTTTGAAAATTTCTCCTTGTTTAAAATTAGAAATTAAAATTTTTTTAAATGTTTCAATGTGTAATTTAATTTTTTTTTTTGTTTGGAAAGCACTTTCTTGCTATTTCGTGAAGCTTTGACATATTTTCTAAGTGAGACTTTTTTTATGCGGTCCCTCTCTACCGCATAAAAAAAATTTTCTTTAATATGCTGTGAACAATTATTTCTTATAGCTATTTATGAAGTTTTTGAATATTTTTTTTTTGTGCGATTCTTTTTCTGCGGTCCCTATCTACCGCACAAAAACAGGTTGGACTGTATTAGGTTTTTTTGGAATACGGTAAGTAAAGGAGGTCTGTCTATCTATCGATTCCGATTTCCGCCAAGAGCACCTAAACGACATAACAAAGAAAGAAGAAGAAGAAAGAAACCTATCTCGATATTGCGAACAGTCAGATATCTATATGGAGGCGAAACTATGCGAATTATCGCAGGAGCAAAGACGCATCGCATCGACTGCCTGAAAATTTTTTACTTATTAATTCATTTCTTTTCGCATACTCAGCGAGTTAGCTACAAATAGCTATCAGCTTGTGTATAAAGTAATTTACGACTTAAAGAATATGAATCTTATGCTATAAGTACCAATCAGTTCTTTGGAAGACGTCGCGGGAGACGCTTTTTAATTATAATATATCTTTCGATCGCGTTAACGCAACGATCCGAAGCGTCAGTTTTTTTTTTTTTAATTTTGTCTTCAAATTCGAGAGCTCCTCTGTAGACATACTCTGCTGCACATAATTTTCAATTCGTTAGAACGAAAAACAAATTTGTAAGAATTTCATCCGTTTTGTCAACGAATTACAAATGAAATTTATGTAGCGATAGAAAAGAAAGTGTGAGAAAGACTCAGACTTTGCTTCTAATAGGAAAATTGATGCAAATTTTAATATAATTAATAATTACTGTTCAATTGTTACAATTGTTTTCGCCTGTTAATTATTACGCAAAGTATATTAGATTTGAGTTTATGTTGTTATGTTTGATTCCCTATACCTACATCTGTGATACAAGGCCCCCGAAGCAGTTGAAGCAAAATTCATCTTTCATTATACCATTCGATTCAGAATGATTTTTTCAATTGATTTAAGCTTGTCTGTCCGTCTGTCCGTCTGTCCTTCTGCACCTTGCAGCAATAAAAAATTGTAAAATTTTATTATTACATATACTTCATCAATTGACGAGAAACAATAACATACATACACCTATGACTTTTTTATTTTATAAGTTGCAATACATATATAAGGCACTTATCATGAATAGTGAATATGATTTTTCCAATTGAAATCGCTACGAGATATTGCTGGTAATATGAATGAAGAACACTTTGAGTGCAAAGGTTTAAATTTATTGCACGAAAGCATATAGAGAAATTTATAATTTAATCTAAATTATTTAAATTTAATTAACTAAAATTGATTGAATTACGCGACTTTACTTAAGTACATAAGTTAAACTAGTTTATTGGTAAATATTTAATATTTTTTATAGATTAAAACTATTGTGCAGCAATCAATCCATTTTGTGGGATATTTTTTGTGAAAATGCTAGAAAGACTCGAAACATTTCAAACAAAGTTCATTGATTTATATCTTCTTTTTTTTTTTTTTTTTTTTTGTTTTTGTAAAACAAAACGCTATTAATTTAATATTTGTCAGATTATTGCATAGGCGCAATAGCGAAACAGGTTACGTATACACCTGTGATTATAAATAATGAATATATATATATATATATATTAAACGCATATATTTTCCATATACAATGTGTTGAATGCTCCTCTAACACAGTCCCGCTTATTCGCTGATTGTTATTATTATTGCCAAGTACTTATCTTATTATATTTAAATTGAAATCAGAAATGATATAAGCAACCACCATTCTATATTCTATGAAATCTAAGATTTCCTATAACTATATTCAATTTTGTACGATGGTTATCATTTAATATTTCTAGGAAAGTCACATATAGTCACATATAGTTATATTCAAAACGTTTTAGTAAGTAAGTAAGTATATTACCATTTATATTATTGAAATGGAATTTTTTCCCATTATTTAGCATCAATTAGCTTAAGTGAGTGCAATCACATTTTTTTCTCGTTTATCCAAATTAGTTTACACAACTTGTATGCATAAACTTTTTTACAACTTTACTGTAAGTAGACTGACTAATTGTTAACATTAAGATAAATACATATATGAAATTTTTGAACTTAAACTAATAAAAGAATGGAGAAGCCATCGTAATTAATGGTAATTAATCAAATCATGCCCAATAGACTCAAAATTGTAGTTTATAGTTTACATACACATCTCAAATTTGAAATCTTACATATTTCCATATTAATTATGCAAATAATCATATGTCCTCCAAAAAAAGAAGATCTTATAAGAGAAGCCGATATCAAGTTTCTTTAAACAGTTACGTGGACGTACTTCGAAATTGTATTGAAGTATTATCTGAAATACAGGCGATATACGGCGGTATATATAGGATGTACATCTATATAACAAACAAATAGCAGCTTACCCTAGTGGCATGCCGGGTGTCAAGACACTCGGTACAAGTCAATTATATCTGCTTTCTAATTTTTTTTTCTTTTCTCTTCTTTTCAATTCAATTTATAATGAATATGAGCTAATTAATTAATTAATTATACCTTACATCACTTGTGATACGGGATATCTTATATATATATATATGTTTGTGCGAACGTTTGCAACATCCAGAGTCCACTTAAGATGGACCCAACTTTTATTATACCCACTGTTTACTTAAACCTGTTTGTATGTTTGTGTCTGATATCTGTCGATATAAATTTGTGTTCAACTTACAGGTCGCCTAATATATAAGATATTCTGATGAAATTATGATTGATGAAACTGTACACTGACGCAATAATTAACACTATCGAAAATGATTCGAATCGATCTATTTTTTTTGACCCACTCCATCATATAACGCCTGCGTTTGAAACCTTTGAAAATATTACAATTTTCAAAATTTTTTCGTCAAAACTCGTTATGTAATAGCATTTCGACATTCTAAATTAGTGTAAGTAATTTGGCTTGCCTATGGCAATTTTTTGAACCCGCTCTCATATGATCATTCTTACGAAAACTGCACCTTTATAAGGTAAAAAAATTTAATTTTCAATATTTCATGGTGAAATTTGGTTCATAATAATGAATCAGAAAGGGAAATCAATTTTAACAAATTTGGACAAAATAAATCTATTTTTTGGATACGATCGTATATTAGGATGCTCACGGCATGCAAGCCCTGATGTACCAAAAAATCATTGGTTGTTGTTTTATGACGAAAATTTGACATAATATATGTATAGTCACACGTGTGCGTATATCTTGGACCCCAGTTCATAGTTCAAGATTTCTCAGGCAAAAAGTTGTAATTTTTTATATTTTATGATGAAAATTGGTTCATAGTAGCAAAATAAACCAAAAAAAAAATTAATATTAGGAAATTTGGATCACTTAGGCTTATTTTTTTAGACCCTAACGTGGTTAACCCTAAAATGATTATGATCAAAAGCATACCCTTACATAGAGAGAAAGCATAATTTTTAGTTTTCCATGACGGAAACTAACTGAAAAACAATAAAATTCTTGGGAAATAAATCATTGCATGAAAATAATATATACTGTGTAATGTACGGCTATCAAAACGAGCGAATAATTGCACTAGGGAAATTCGTGTAGGGCATATAATGCTCAGCCTTGCCCGACTATAACGTCCTTATAATTGATTTTAATAATATTTTCTTACTTATTCAATCATTCAACGGAAATTAAATATAATCTAATTCTTGTTTATGATACTCATGTAATACATAATTACAATCAAGTAAAAACAATATAGTGGAACAAGGTCCACCATAAAATACTCGACACCACACTACAGGTATTCATGTAACGTCTTTTCAATATAAGGCAATATCCAGGAAGTGGTCGAAAATATGGTCCCGATTCGAGTCATTTTTAGCAGCGTTCGTGTTTGAGTCAAAACATGTCGGTATACCGAATTTCGTCAAAAAATATCTCAAAAACTGCGACCTAGAAACTGAAAAACAAAAACAAAAAAAAAAGAAAAACAGACAGGCAAGCGTTTCGGAATCGTTTTCGGTATCATAAAAGTGTAGGTAGGTCTATATTAAGCCTTCCAAGTGTTGCACACATATATATATACGCACAAGCTTAATATACCCTTATACAACGATTAGTGTAGGGCATAAAAATAGTTATGCTTTTTTATATTTGAAGACATGAAAACTTCATCCTCACCTATGCAAAATATCGAGAGGTAATTTTAATGAAAATTCACTGTAAGATGGGGATAAACTCATTTTGTTTTTTTCATATTGTATGTGGCACCCAAAACGAAACTTCAGAGAGGCCCTATAAAGTATATATATACTTTTTGATCAGCGTGAAATTCTGAGATGATTTAGTCATGTCTGTCCATCTGTATCTGCGTGATGTTCGCTGTTGGCACTCTCCCGATTGCAACAACAAAGGTATCCACTTTAAATTTGGTAAAAGCATTGGAAATTTCTGCACGCAGGTTGGTATTGAAAATTGGCCAAATTGCAAAATTGGTGAAAGCAAAAGCCCGGAATGGAGCATAAGCTGAACGCAACTCCGTTTTTCGTAACAAAAATTTGTGGGTTTCTACACGTTAACTCAAAAATTTTATATATGTAAAAGCTAGAGAGCCGACATTTTTCACTTTATTTTTATAAAATATTCTGCTCTTTACGAGCAAAAAAATGGAAAACGTCCGCCATAGCCACACAAAAAGTTACAAGTGATTAAATTCTACTTTAACTTTTTTGAGATTTACTGCTTTATTTATCATATGGCAAACAAGATCGAATGTTTACAACTATTTTTGTACACTTCTTAAGGGGTTAATTTTGAAACGAATCTGATAGTCACCGCAATTAATATATTCTTAATAATACCAACGATGTGGGTATCAAATCGTTTAAGAAATGACAAATACACATATTCAGATGGACGGTCAGATAGAATTAAATTGACTTCAAATTAAGAAGAATATGATTTAAGTAGTCTCTGATAAATAAGTATGACGTATGACGTTCTAAAGGAAAAAAAATAAATTCTTATGTTGATGATAATTATAAAAATGTTTTTTCGCTACTAAGAAAGCATAAGATTTGTGAAATATAAATCAGAAATTCGAAACTTCGATTTGATTGTATTATTAGTGCAATAAACAATCAGGCGTTTTTATGCCCGAAACACAACACTTAGCACGAAATACAAATACTTACCGATCCATAACTCTTATAAAACGTTCTGGACATTCAAGATGTTTTTCGTCCCACAAACAGCGATGCTGTGACATAGATTCATCGTAAACTAAGCCGGTAGGCTTTTGCATTAAATGTTTAGCATTAACAGCCTGAAAAAAATTGGAAAAAAACAAAAAAAACAAAAAAAACAAAAATGAATAATACTTTCATTATAATTATTTCTTCACTATGGGTAACTTACATTTTGAAAAATATCCTTAACAGCATTTTCTTGCTGCGTTTGTTGTTGCATTTTTAATAATTTTGCTTTCCGCTTAGCTTCAAGTAGTGCTATGTTCGGTTTTCGATGTTCAACTAAATTGACAGTCGCAGCCGATGTTGTCGACTTAACCATTGCACGAGTTTGTATTTTAGCTTTTTGCGCTGCCCGTCGTGTAACAATGGGAGAGCTCTAAAATCAGATTATAAATGTTTATAAAGGAAATAAAAACGAAAGCATTGGAAAAACACTTGTGAGACACAAAATAATGAAACAACTTATTACTTTAAATGCTTATCAATTCTTTAAGACAATAGCAAACAAAATTAACTTTAAATTACATACAAGAAAAAAAAAAAAAAAAAAATTCTATGTAATCTAAGGCTTTTATGTCTCTGATAACGACATCATTTGCGGTAATAGACTGACTATCTATTTAATAATATAAACACAATCTGGAACAAAACAATAATTACTGTATTGTGACAATAAAGTATTGTATGACTACAAAATTTTAAGCTTTATTAAGTAATCATTAAAATCTGTCATCATTTTCTTTAAGCAAAAGTTTTTGCTTCTAATAATATACGACAACTTTGGCCAAATATTTTACTGTCATCTTTGTCTTAAAACACATAAAACCATTATAATGGTTTACGGTTCACTATTAAGTTCCCCTAACATCACTCAGATTAGTACAGTTATTCATATAATGATTTTTCAAAATATTGCATTATATGAGATACGTTCGAAAAAGTGGTCCGTTCCGAACGGTGTAAAGTTATATTTAAATTAAACTAGCAATGGCACGAACCAAAATTTTGTTTACAGAGATCTGTTAAGGCATTAACAGCACTTTGTTAAACGACATCTCGGAGGGATTTAAGTCAAAATGCAGTTAAAATAAAACTTTTCAAGAATTTTTTGTACAAAATATTATAAACAAAAGATGACTTTATGTAAATTAATTAATATGCGAAAGGAGTACATTTTTACACTCTGCCATAAATGAGATTGATAAAGCGAAAGTTTGCGGAGCTACTGTGGCCAAACCATGTCCCTTTGAAAAAATGAAACTAGCACAGAATGAATCCTCTATTAATAGCCTTTCCAGCGGTGTGCAGGTTATATTAAGTTTTACCCGGAGCATCTTTTTATGGGATTTTGAAAATTTCCGTACGAGCTAATATGCAAAAAATTTTAGTTTGTATCTTTGCTAATTATATTTAAATATAACTTCACACCCTCTCCGATCCGAAAGATTGTCAATAATGTTCGACCTTGGGCAAAATTATGGCGGTATATCAAAGTTAATCAAAAAATGTGTTAAAAATTTGCGACCTACAGGTTGAACACAAAAAAACAAGCGAACGGGCGGGCGAACAACCTTAGATCGATCCAAAAACTGATTCAGAAATCTGTGAATGAAAGGTGAGTGTGTTGCACACACCCGCACAAACTTAATATAGTCTTGCGTCGCAAATCGTGTCGAGTATAGAAAAAAAACCAATTAAAAAAATGCAAATTTTAGTACTTTATAAAATATTGGGCAGGCGTGACCGAATTTTTCCTCTTTTTTTTTTTATAATGACAGTATATGTCAAGCATGTCAAGACGCACTTCTTCAATTCAATCAATTCAATTTCTTTATACCCATCACCGAAGGACGAGGGGTGATACTCATTTTATTAAAACGTTTGCAACTCCCAGAAGGAAGCATTAGAGACCCCGTAAAGTGTATTATTCTTGATTAGCGTTAAATCTTAAATCGATTAAGAATGTAAACATCCTCCTGACCGCAAAAATGAAGCTATCAACTTTAAATTTGACAGAAACAGTGGAAGTGTTTTCACGTAGGTTGATATTGAAAATGGATCAAATCAGTCGAAGGACACGGCCACAGCACCACGTAAACTGGTAATTCCTCTGTTTTTCAAATGGAATGGAAAATTGGTTTTATTTTTGGGGCCTTACTCATTACCAAAAAAAATGCATTGAACTTTTTTATTTGTTCACAACAATATATCATTAAAAAATCCACCACGACTTTGAACGCACGGACGCGCACAATGGTTTCCTTGAAAACTCCAATTCAAGTTCACCTTAAATTTTGCATTTTTCGGCACTAGCCGACTGGTATTACTGGTTCAGATATAGGAAAGTAAATCTTTTGAACCAGGCGCACTATTACTGAAACCTAGTCCCCTGCACAGTGACAAAATATATCATATATTAAATTTTATTTGCAAAGAAGGTTAGTGCTTTAAAAATTTAACAAACCCACTTAACCCGACACCCGTTAATTATTAACTCACTAATAAGCTATTTGTTCTCTCGCTACTTGAATATTAGCAGTCAACCCCGCAAATTTAATCCAGAGTTGGATTAATTTTTACTCGCTTGCTTGTACTTATTTTACAAGTTTTTTTCAAACCTCTTTGAATGCTGGATATAAACTGATTGAATACATGGGACATATATATATAATTAACTCGCACCAGTTTTTGTCATTGTTGATGTCACGAGTACTTATTTGTTGCAAGTACGAAACTATGTAAATATGGAAATAGTTCTCTCTTCGCATACACCATCATCATCATCATCATCATCATCATCATCGTCCTCGTCGTCATACAATCATTATTTATTTTTTTCTTTTTGTTTGCCATTTACAAATACATGTTACGAGTGGGTATTAGATCTCCACCTCCACTACATAAAATAATTTATTGCATACGAAAAGGCTAGTTGTCTGGGTGTCCGTTACATGATTACTGCGTTTATTATTACGTCAAGTTACACATGGTTTACAATACTTTGCCAAGTATTTTATATCAGAAAATTGTAACACAAACCATCAAACGATAGAGTTATACTGCATTTGTCATTACGCTCGCAACTGTCAGTTGATGTAGCCATTAGAGCGTCTGTGCGATATATGCAAATACCATATCGACGCAACATTCTGTCAATTTTAGCATGTTCATCTGCGTCTCGCAACTCTTCAAAAACATATATTTATTATTATGCATCGCGGGCGGTGATGAGATAAGAATCCGCTTTTCGTCTTGATCACCAAGATACATACCCTTTATTCAGTCACAACCAACCTTCAAGGACTAACGAGATTACATTTAAATTTAATGTTGACTAGTCAAGGACTTCAAACACGATGAAATTGTTCAAAAATATCATTTTTGGGATGATTTCACGGATAAGTGTAATTTGTGTTAAACCATCAGGTAAAATAATATATATTTATATATACCTCTAGGGATATTTATCGATCTATATGTTACGTTTACAATTCGTTTGCTCTTTAATAGGAAAGAAGTCAAACACAAATGCACATTTGTACTACCCTCAATGCGACCCTCAATATTATGAAAATAAAGAGAAGAAGACAAGTCGCCTTCTCCATGAATAAAATCAAAATAAAGAGTTCTAACGAGACCTTGTTTAGTTTATATTATTTTTAGATTTTTTTCATTTTCCGGTTATGTTTACTATTTACATTTCTTTTTCGTTTTTTTTTTTTTTCACAAAGTCTCCAATAAACAACAACTTACCATTCTTAGGAAATTATGCGTTAATTATTGATTATAGGTTTTCTTTTTTTCGTTTGTATAGTAAATTCTGGCACGACAAATAAAAAATAGCAAATAGCGTCCCCGTTTAAGTAAAACACACCGGCCAACAACAACACCGATATAATTAGCACAAATTCATATGCACACCAAATAAAAAATAAATATTGCAAATTCAAAAAAAAAAAAAAAATGTTATTATATATTAATAATATGTGCGTGAACGAGACGAATTAAATATTTTCACAAAGAAATTTGTAAAAATTTTTTGAAAATTTGCTTAAATTATAAATTCCGAAGTAATTCTGATTAATAAAAAGTTGGGAAACAACAAACACAATATACATTACGGTTGTAATTTTTAGTTTTTTGTCTTTCACACACTTGTATGATTTTTCCTTCGTTTTTTTTTTTACTATTTCTAAGAAGGCATTCATACGCTCACAATTGATTTAAATTTCGCTATTTCTTGCATTAAGAAAGTGTAAGAAATTTCACATTTACTAAAAGACAACAATAATATGATGCGAGACGTATATTCTTAAGCAAGAGGGACATGGAATTCTTGTTGTTGTTGTGTGCTTTTAATGGTATTTCTTTTAACCGATTTCTTTTTCAAGTGGATTTTAATTAACAATATGACGAAATTACTTTATTGCTTTTAATAATTCGCCGCTCTTGTTTCAAATACATCACTTTTATGAAAAATAGAAACCACGACAAATCTTTTTTACATAAATTACGATATAATTGCAAATATTTGCAGAAAGTTATGTTCTACGATAGGCCAATAGAGACTATAGAAAAACAAAGCAATAGAGCTGCCAATATTTTTTATTAAAAACATAAAAAAGTTATCTATTATCTACATTACAAATTATTAGCTAAACATGTTTTTCATTATCGCTGTTATAAGTGAGTATAAGAAATATTAATGAAATATTTAAAAATACCAGCATTTTTATCGCGTTCTTTACACAACTCGGCTAAAAAATTCGACAAAAACGCTACAAAACTTTTCCAGAACTAAGCAGTTTTAACCTGGCTTCACTGTTGCAAAACATATGATTACCTAATTTTAAAACAAAACTAATTAAGGACGATACTTCTATTCTTAATAGCGCAAAAAAGTTAAATAATTTGGATGGTTCTCCATAACAATTTTCTTCACTTGTTTCAATTTTTTCATCGGTCGCTGACCTGCTGGATATCCAATAATGTGAGCACAATTTGACTAAGTACAACAAACCTAAATATCTGCTTAATTTCACATTTGCTTTAATTCGGGTACTTCAAAGTCATCATCAGTATCAGAATAGTTAACATTTAACAGTCCTTTGGCAAGTTTTTACATATCTATCTCTGGTAGATCTACTAATGTATTCGTATTGACGCTTAACATTGCTCTGTAAATAAGGATTGTTTTTTGTCGGCATTCTTAAGCTTGAACTTTATTCATTAGCCTGATTTCGAGAAATTACTATGTTAATCTCCATAATCTGCTTAAACTTTATGACACCATCGCGAACCTATTTTTTATATTGATTGCTCCATAATTTTAAAATAAATCGTCTTTAGTGCTTTTTTTTCATTTCTTACAAAACTAAATTTGGTATAAAGCAAAACTGCAAACCATATAATATAAAAAGTGTATATTAGCGTACGACAAACGTAAATCAGATAAATAATTTTAAAATTAAACACATTACTGTGTCAGCCCCCTGAAGCGTGCGGTTGGTTATACGGTAAGCACGGTAAGAATGAATCACAATAGGATTGCCAAATTGCTTTCATTCTTATACTCAATATCGTATTTCAAACAATATATATTCCATACAGTTGCAATGCTCTTTATATATCTACTTCTGAAGCTTTTTGTTTACAAACAAAAAGAAGAAAAAGGAATATGCTAACTCGTATTAAAAATGAAATTCCTGATTTCATTATTGAGTATCTAGTTTACTGTGACATTTTTGTGGATTATAGTAGACAAAAAACATGCTTGGTTCTTACCAAAAATTTAAAGTTTTTCGAATACAAGCAAAAGCAATTGGTAGCAAGTATTGACCTAGACCACACGTGCCTTCACAAGGTATTAAATAAATTAAAAAATTACACGGGTCCTAAATGTAAACGTTTGAAAGGCAGTGCGAGTGATGAACCTACTTCAAGTACGCAAACACCTTCTTATTCACTCATGGATGGAATAAGTTTCGGTAAATATGCTTATAATCTGATCAGTATCCAAAAAATTTATCTGTTAATCCAATGCTGGGATAAATTATTGATACTTCAACGCTTCAATAATTATTTAAAGGATTTTCAACTAATAGATGAATATGAAGGAGTGCTTTCGTTTAGATTAGTTCACGGTCCCATAAAATATTGTCCTGTATTGGAAATAAAGTTTGAAAATGGACGACTCTTGAAAACTGATTTTCAAGAATCTGTCAAAAGGAATACTGAAAATGAGTTTGTCGAACAACATTTGAATGATTCCGAGTTTAAACAACTTATGGACAATATACGTAGTGCCAAAACTGAATTGCAACTTCATCAGTCCATTACGGGGCGTACATTTCGACAATTGCACAATAAGTTGACGTTTGGAGTGCCTTACATACGCAGTCTAAAACTGGAAGAAAAACAATTACTGAGCCGTTGCGGTGACATATGGAAACGATTCACTTTGCACGATCATTTGGTGATAGGAGTACCAGTGGTAAATCAATCCTCGCCTCCTAATTTAACAATTTTAAGAAATCTTCAGCCCTTAATACAATTCGAACCATCGGAAAGTTGTATATTACATTGTGAATATCGTTTATACCAACTGAAACGCACTTTTGAAGAATTAGATTCAATCGAAGCTTTCCTAGAAACTGAAGACGTACAATTGCAGGCTAACGTGTGGTTGCCTGAGCAACACTTGCAGCTACTACCAGATTCATTTGCAATATTATTGATAAAATTTCAATTATCCGATATTATTAATTTAAACCGATGTCCTTTAATATTGACGTACGAAATCGTAAAAGATTTCCCTTTAACTCCTCACGAGGATAACAGTAAGGAAACGTACCCTCTTCAACTTGTGTTAGACACTCTGGATTTTTATCGCATATTGAACGAACAGCGCCAAAAGTATGAGATATCATTTAATAGGAAAACATTAAATCAAGACTTTCTAGCTATTGCCATGACTTCAATGGAGACGGTGCTAACATTTACATTTTGCAACCAATATGATTTAGACACTTTCTCCCGCCTAATTAAAGAAAAATATGATTTTGACAGTTGCCCAAACGACAGAAGAGAGCATGAAATGAAAACGGACCACGATGAAGAAGAACCTGAGGCCAAAACAAGTTTATCTACTGCTTCCATTTTTTATAATCGCAAGCCACAATCTCTTTGGTTTGGTTGTTTAGTTCTTTATCATTGTAGTCCCACAAGAATGGACAAAAGTAATCATCTAGAGACAGTTTGGAAATTCTATCATATTCATGTGGAAAAGGCGGTAATGTTTTTGAAGTTACTCTTTACTGATTTGGTAAACGGCAATTGCAATATCCTGAAAGTGGAAAGATCACCAGAACAAGTTCCAAAAAATTCGTTAATGGAATTTGAAAACGCTTTGCGTCTAGAGTTAGATGCCCTTCGCAACTTCTTATCTGCAAAGGCGGAAGAGTTCTCAAACACACAATTACAATTGTCAAAGAATTTTTTCAAATTACAACTACATACAGATTTAGTTCTGCAGAATGTGAATGCCGAGGGTGAAAGTTTAAATTAATATTGTACAAATTTTTGCAAATGAAAATAAAAAATTATAAATGCTTACATGATATAAATTGGTATACATAGGTTTTTTTCATATTGCCCTTATTTTTTCAATATTGACCAGGCGTCGTCGTCTTTATTCTCTTGTTGGAATCAATTTTTGATGTCAATGTCCAGTAACATATATGTTGGAGTGTACTATCGAAAATAACGATTTTATAAATTACCGTGAATTGGAGTAAAACATCCACAAGACTCAAGACGAGGAATCTTTAAACAATATTCATCTACGCAATTCTTTATTCGGATTGCTCCAAACATGTAGTGCGGAAATTCTTATTAGTAGGATTACACACCCACGAATAATAAAATATATGTACTTTACAGCTGTTATATATTATTTTAAAGTCCCTGAGATGAATTTAACTTCCTTGGTTATCGTTGCGTAAGTCAACATTGACAATTACCGATCAATGATCAATATATTTATAATGATAAAACATTAAAAGCAGTTTCAGTTCTCTACAGGCTTCGTTATAAATTTAGATTTCATCATTTGAGAAAAAGAGTTCTTCTGTTACTTTTATTAAGAACTTATTAAAAAAACATGTATAAAATTACATAAATCTAATCATAATCATAGCAATTTTTAATTAGCACCAGAGCCGTTGCTGTTGACGCCAGTAGTAGCAGTCACCAATAAAATAGGATCCGGCTTGGTCCGTTTCGGTAAAGTGGCAGCGCGCAGATATGGATTGTCTATATTCGGATTCTCCAAAATAGCTTTATTTGTAGTGGAATTAGGCTTTATGTCGTTTTCGGGTTTTATATCCTTTTCAGTTTTTTCCGATTTCTTTTCACTATCACCATTACTGCCACCATTACCGTCACCACCGCTACCACCATTTTGTATGTCTTCATCATTGCCGCTTTCATTCTCATCATCATCTGGAAGTAATTCTCATTAATTATATATATTTCTCTTTGATTATACATTTCACATAACGAACCTTTGCAATCTTCTGTACGATTGGCTACCAAGTAGTGATATTCAAGTTCCTCAAAATCAAACACTTGATCGGTGGGATTTAATGCGGCTAAATATGGAGGGAAGGCAGGTTTGCAGGCAATCACTAAAACAATCATGATTTCTTTTTAAAGACTGAGATGTAATTGGTTGCTTTACTTACAAGGAAACATATTATCTTCGGTATCGAACAGACTATGAGTTTCAGAGGTTTTGGCCAAAAATTTCGTTAACGCCTTTTCAATATCGCGCTTTTGCGTAGCTGCTTTTTCACGTATAGCTTCATATTCCGTAACAGGTTGTTTATGAGTCTTAGGCAAGAAAACATTTACAAGATCTATTGAATTTCAAGTTTAAATAAAGAAATTACCGGTGTCCTAACATAAGCATGCGGATCAGGAAACAATGGCAAATATGGTAAAATATATGAAGGATGTTGTGACTTTGTGCCGGCTTGTAAAAGATTTAACTGTTTTTGTTGCTGTTGTTGTGCTGGCATCGGTATGATTTGACGACCTTCTCGTTTGGCGAACGCTTCAATGCCTTGCAACGAAATACCCATATTTACCAAAGCGACTGTCACGTCACCCAATACGGGTATAGTTCGACCTGATAATTCGCAGTAACTGCGTGCCGACTGTCCCACCTCAACAAGCACTGAGGATATTTTGGTATATTAATTTAGAAAACACCAATTTTTGGTGGAACTTACTGCTTTGCAGCATTTCCGTCAAGGTTTCCAAGCATTCTTTGTCCACCGTTTGAAAGCCTTTTTCTACAAGAATATGAGAAACAGCTAAACCTAGAATTTTACGTCTAGCATTCCCTGTAGGTTGCATAGATTCTGGTTTTTCCATATTTTTTTTAATTTCAATTTGTACTGAACTTCAAGATGCAATAAAAACAAATAATATAAAAAAATATAATGAAAGGGGTAGGGAGGCAATACGAACATACTTAATGCATTTCTAAGACCGTAATTATAGACTTCTGCCAACTTTTCTCTTTTACCAGTAAGGTCAACGCAACCTTTCATGTTAAAATAACAGGCGATTTCAGTAAAATATACTGATGTCTTTGCTTCATTCGTAACAGAAATAATATTTTTACGATATGTATAGTATTGTGGCAGGACTGTAAGATAATATCAAAATTGGTATAGTGGATTTTAAAATTCTGAATTACATACAGGTATATTATTCTATACTTTATTGTAATGAATAATATATATAATATTTAGCCGAATTAAGGGCTTGCACCCTGAAAATATATATTTAATAATAATTGATATAGATGATTAGAAAAATGAATGTAGCGGCTTTATACTAAATATGTGCAACATAGAATTTTCAGTTTCAATTCTGTGCGTACTTTGTTGAAAATTAATGGAAATTTTAATTCCACAGAATGTCATGTTATCTGTGAATTTAATTAGTAAATTGATATCGTCGAAAGGTGAGGTAACCCTTTCTTTTTTATGTACATATTTTTGGATATGCGATCGAAATGGTTATTGTGAATAGTGGTTAAACAGTGCCGCCAATCGTAAGTTTGACAACTATAGCACCAAAAGAATTTAAAATTGACCTCTTTTATTCTTAACCTTAACGATCATTTAAGCACCAATTTTATTGTTTTTTCGACAAATATCAAAAAGTCATTCAAAATATTCAGGATATAATATGCGAAAACAAGAGGATGGAGAATTTTTTGTGAAAAAAGCTAAAAAACTTCGTCGAATAAGTGCAACTCATTCAACAAGTGCAGATAGTGGAAATGATCAATATCATCGTCAATTTTGGGAACACCCTAAACTTACGAATATTATCAATCAGCTGCAACATGAATTCCGTGACTATAAGTACACGCTATATAGGTGCGCTGCTAAATTTGTGACTTTACAGAAATTGTTTTTTAGTAAGTTTTATAAAAATCTCAGAAATGTCTAGGCCTTTATAATTATTCAGTATGCTTCCGTAGCTAACAACATACCTTATAAACTCATATTGGCTGTAATGGACAGGCATGGTATACTTGAGGGTGATGTTAATTTAATGGTGCCGCCATTTCAATTGACTTCATTAATCCATGATATATACTATGCCTGTGACAAATTGGGGCACTTCAATGAAATACTAGACTATACATTGGAATCAGCCACAAATTTGTTATCAAATTTTTTCTGGAATATCTACGATCCGTACGAATCTTAAGATTAGATTATGAAATGAAATAATTTGTTAATTAAGTAAATTCTAATTTTAGTCACCGTCGTCATTCAATTTCATTAATGGAAATCAAAATTACTTTTCTATTGCTTTGCAAATTATACCCCAACGATAATTATATACTTGAAACATACAAGGCGGTTAGCTCAAAGAAGACTAAATGTGTCTCAAAATTAAATTTTGAATATATGCTTAATACGTTGGTGAAAATGTGGACATACATTGGTGAAGAAGCAGGCTATGGTACTCATAATATATCATTGATCATGGAACAATCATTCGCAAGAGTAAATATATATGACTTGATCCATCAATATTCATGTTGGTGTTGACTTTATCTCATCTCTCCTTAGTGTCACAATGCTTCGGGTTTAACGGACTATCATTACCATTGCTTATGGACAACAACGCATACCAGATTCTTGATTTATGCCAATTTAATAGCTCTTATTAAACGAATTGAAGATACTGAAAAATTAATACATTATAATGCGTGCGCTTCATGCTGTTGTGCGACTATAGTTGGTATACGTTTTAAATGTCAATCTTGCAGCGATTTATCTTTATGTTTAAAATGTTTTGCAACTGGCTATCAGACTAACAAACATCATGCTGGCCATCGCATGTGTGAAATGTTTTCAGAGGTAATCATTATAATAATCACAAACAACATATACACATATAATAAATATGTATTCGATTTGGTTTCTAGGATTTACCTCCCAAGAAATTTTCTAATTATTTCTCCAAATTATGCACCTTTTTATGTTTTGCAAAAACAAATGAAGAAACTCGGGGTTTTTGTAATCCTAATGAATCCATAACCTACAATAATACTGAATTGATTACGATCAATGCAAACGGTTCCTCTAGTGCTTCCACATTAAATAAGGATGTTGTTGTTGACTTTGAAAATGCTTTAAATTCTCGAAATAGTAAAACATCACTAGAATTTGCCAAAGGCAAGCAAGAAACTGTAAGCGGTAAGTTCTATGGTGATCTCCTTAGAAACATGATTATTTAAGTAATTGTTTATTTTTAGCTTCTTTAACTCTTGCTACAACCACATCGAATGCCTTAAATGTATCGGAAAGACTTCAAATTATCATTGATAAATTGCTTTTACAAAATAGGTAAGCAAATAACTAAGTAAGTACAAGTGTATAAAAATGTGTTACGTATAAGTGGGATCCCAAGGTTTCGTCTGGTTCATTAGCTGTATGTGGAAGAATCTTGTCCATTGAATATATAATAATTACTTAATAAGTCATACTATCATCCCACTTGAATGTATGTTCTCATTTGCATCTTTTTTTTTTTTTATCCTTGGCGATTATGCGCGAATTCGTATTGTTTTGATGTAAGGTCCATTTGATGTGAAGATCACTCTTAAAATTAATCAAGTATCCTATAATCGAGTAACCTTGAATTTAATAATATTTGTATAAGTGAAATCGTGGTGCCGCTTGGTCTTGAAAAATTTAAAGAAAAATTTTTGTTTAAATTTATTTCAATTTAAAAAGATTTAATATCCCTCTAATCGTTAATGAAATAAAGATATTCAGTGATATTATTTTCTTCATTAATTCATTAACTTCTCCATATTTGGATTTAGTAAATATATGTAAAAAGCCTGGAAGCCAATAACGTTTTCGCTTATGTTAAACGATTGTATATCGAAGCAAGATCGGTTGTATGGTTAAGCTTTCCTATAGATAGAAATTGCACTGTTACAGCTTAGGCTGAAGTCTTAAGGATTATATTCATAGAATTATTCAAAAGCCCGACTCTATTAATTGTTAATTGGTTCTCATGCAGACACACATGTGGCTTCTCTTTGCATAACATATAAAGTTATTATAAAACATTTGATCTAAGAGAACTTAATATTAAAAAAATGTTTACACTAATTACAAGTTTGCAGCTGCAGATGTTATTGATAACTTTTATTACTTAATGATTTCTTCACCATAACAGCTTTCAATTATTTTCGTATGTAATTATGATCGGTCTAGTGCAATGTCCTTCGCAGTGAAAAGTGTTGTTCAGATATCACATAGTTTTATTTAGAAATATTCCGCTAGGTGAATTAGAACATTTCTTGCTCAAAGAGGGAATACGTGCATTACTTTTATCATTCTCGATAAAATTTGAAGACTCTGCCACGTCAGAGGATAAGGATTAATTTATAATACTTTAGCTATGCCTAGCGTAGTTGAGATCACAAAATTAATAAATTAAATGAAGCAAGTAAAAACACGGTAGTGGACCACTGCTGTAACTACTGTGTCGCTACTTTTGAGAATGAGGCGTTATATGGGAAATTATGGAAACGATGATCTGATTTTGCGTAATTTTCAGTAGGGTTCGTCCTTGATCGGTACACCAAACTTTCCCAAAATAGCTCAAAAATAGCGGCCTGTAATTTAATATGACCTTGCTCCACAAGCAATGTAGGGGATAGTACAACAAAAAAAAGAACAAGAAAAAAATTTAAAGAAACACAGGTTCGTGCTTTCTTTATCAGATATTCCATGTTCGTTTACAGTCCGTCCGCTGTAATGTGTTTGCCATCATGTATCTACCTTTAAATTTCCTCACAGCACCTTTTCCTACCTTAGCAAAATCATTAGAATGTTATTTATAGCTTTGGAAAAGTAAAATACTAAAAATAACGGACATGACTCCCACAATTTGTCTTTCTCATCGAAAACACATCATACGCCTATCTGTTATCTTAACTACACGCCGCCTTTGCTACTTAACACCCGCAGGCGTAAATAACTAGATAACTAGATCTATCCGCCGCGTTTTAAACTATATTTTGCAAAATTTATTTATAAAAAAGTGTAAGAAAAAAATAAAATATTAATAATTAGCATTAAATTAAAAATATTAAAATTTCGACATATTATGATGAACAGAAAATATGGCATATCTCATTCTTCTCTGGAAGTCGATCATTAATTAACGATTCTTACAAGCGCTGTTCTTCAAATTTTGCATTCCTTTCTTTACGTGAGCGCGCATGAATCGATTTCTATAAGTCCGCCCTTGTTAAAAGAATATAAAAAGCGTTCCACTTAGCTAAATGATGCTGATTATTCTTTGCAGCAAATTGGAGCAACAACTAAGCTGTGTACAAACTTCTACACCTGAAGAAATATCAAAATTTTTAAGTGCACATCAAAAATTTTTAATGGAAATTATTAATGAAATGCGAAACTTTTCGGTAAATATAAAATAGAAAGAAAAATTTTATTAAATATCGCTTATCAATAATATATTATTAGCAAACATCATCGTCAACGATACAATCTTCTACAAGGAAATATCCATCGGCAAGTACACCAAATCAATCAGTTTTCTCTACTACGACAGAAATGGGAAACTTTAGTTCCATATCGGGTAGAAAGGTGAATGCTAGTAGCAACAATAAATTTGTTGGCAATGTTGGCGATTTAAATAATCTCAAGGATCGCTTAACATACTCAAGTAAGAAATTAAGAATTATTGAATAAATTATATTTTGATTTTTTTAAATATAGTTAATGGGGCCGATTTAAACCGCAGTTATTTGGATGCAAATAGATCGGATTACTCTCTTAGTGATCTAAGCTGTTGGTTCAATCAAAGACGTTTATCTACCTTATCGCCGTCTTTAAGTGTAGTGCCTGAGGTGAATTCCGCACAAGTTTCACTTATTGATTATAAATCGGCAAACGCATTAATATTGCATGATCGCGATACAGAAATGACGAATTTTAAGCTTTTATTGAATAAAGTTAAAGAAATTGTTGAAGATTCTTATACTGACAACGTTTTAGATTCTATAATAAAAAGTGAGGAGTCGCGCAGTCATTATGATCGCATCGAAGATATATAAATATTAATATAGCTGTTTATGAAGCTTTAATTTCAATATTTTTTCACAAAAACTAAAGATCAAATCAAATCAAAAACATAACTTGAGAAGTTCTAGCATTTTTTATATTTTAAAGATAAGTGAAAATCATTATTATGTTCAACGAAAAGGTGAAGTGAAAGTATTAAAAACAGAAAATACATATTGAAATACAAAAAGTTTACATATACCGCAATGTCAAAAAATCTGACCAGATTATTAATATTATTGTTATTACTTTTAGCTGTCATTAATTAATTTTATGACTATAGGACTTTGTAGCGTCCCTTGTTAAATACATGATGTGCTGAACTAAGTTTTAATAGTTCCTCTTTAATGAGTCTTGTAATCTCACGTTTGGCTTTTTGGACAGCCAATTCACTGCAACTTTCTATAGCCAAATATAGTTTGCGTTCACCTTCTGGCGGTGCTTTACCGGGCGGCACATAAGTACCACGAACAGTAAGTCCGGCTTCAGAGTATTCGGATATTTGAGCCAAAGCCTCCTTGGAGGTGACTTTCCAGCGGGCCTGCTGGGGGAAATCATTGATTTCCAATTCCTCTTCATATTTAGTAAAAGAATTGGGCTGATTAGGTAACAAACCAGTTATGCCACCGGTTCCGTCTTCATCATCCTTTGGCTGATAATTGAGTTTGTTATTGAGCTTGGCGGCCAATTGTTCAACCACGGAGCGGGCAGTAATCATTGGCTGAGCGCTGCCAGCACCCTTTAGTATAGCCTCGGCGGCTACTTGAGTGCTAGCCTTTCCATCGGCTCCCAAATTCTTTGTAGTGCTAATTTTCGAAGCCCTGCGTTTGGCCAACTCGAGCTTGTCGGAGCCCACACTTATGGCTACGGTAGCAGCGCCAGCTGCAATGACAGTACTGCCAGCTGCGGGTGTGGCCACCATGGTCACTGCGGGCGTTAATACAGAAGTGTCCTTAACGGTGCGCTTAGCCGCAAATAATTGTTCAATTTGTTGATCGATATCTTGTTCAATATCTTCTTCATCATCGGAATCGGCCAAACCCAAAGCAGCTTTTTGAAGTTTCTTGCTTTCTTTGGCCGCATTGGCTTCTTGTTCATCGAATTTAAACCCTTTACCGCTAAAACCACCGCCAGTGTGCACTTTCTTACCCTCAGCTTCTTGGGCAGTTTTATATTCACTCCACATTGTTTCCAAGTCCTGGGGAATTGCCGTTTCTGATAATTCCAGAGCTCTTATAACATCGCCAGCGTAACGGCCTTGATCAGGTGTTAGAAAAGTCCAAGCACTACCCTTTTTGCCAGCCCGTCCCGTGCGACCGCATCTTAAAAAAAAAAAAAAAAACACGAGTGTAACACATGTCGAAATTTCCTAAATAAACTTTTTACTATTTACCGATGCACATAATCCTCATAATGATTAGGTACATCATAATTAACAACTAATATCAAGTCCTTGACGTCTAAGCCGCGAGCAGCGACTGAAGTGGCTATTAACAATCGAACCTTACCCGATTTGAAGTCTAATATAGTAGAATCCCGATCGAATTGATCAATACCTCCATGCAAGCTCCTGCAAGCATATGAAGCTTTCATAAGCTCTTTTAGTAGTTGATCGGCATTTTCCTGCTTATCCACAAACACTATGATGCTTCCACGTTCTTGAAAAATTCCTAACAATTCCAATAATTTTAAAAATTTGGCTTCATCACCCAAAATGGCCACATGTTGTTCGACGTCTTTGCACACCACTGAGCGACCTCCCACAATCACTTCTATAGGTTTTTTTAAAATGCGTCTTGCCAAAGCCTCCATTTGCCGAGGAAATGTAGCACTAAACATAACTGTTTGACGATCTGGTCGCACATTACCAATAGTGCGCATGACTTGTGGTTCAAAACCCATATCAAACATACGATCAGCTTCATCTAATACTACGTACGTTACGCGACGTAGATTAGTAACTCGTCCCGAATTAGCAGCCAGCATATCGATCATGCGACCAGGAGTACAAACAATAATTTCAGCTCCCCGTTTCAGTTCAGCAATCTGTTCGGAGATTCCGGTGCCACCGTAAACACAAACCGGTCTTAAATTAAGGCCTTTCGAGAATTTACGTATATCTTTACCGATTTGCATACACAATTCCCGTGTTGGAGCCATGATTATTGAGATGGGTCCATCGCCATCTTCAAGAGGCGGTTGATCCAAAATGTGCCTAAACATAGGTAAAATGAATGCTAGCGTCTTACCACTGCCAGTTTTAGCAATACCTATCAGATCGCGTCCGGACATAATGGCTGGTATGGCTTGACATTGGATAGGTGTAGGCTTTTCAAAGCCAAGTTTGCGCAAAATATCCATTTCCTTTTTGCTAACACCACACTGTGCCCAAGTCTGGCACAAAAATTAAACAAAAAATTTTTTTTATATATATGTACATATGTATGGGCGTCTATGACCTGATTGCAAATGTTGGTATCAATTGTATTGTTTATACCAATGTTCGCAAAAGGTAACGCTTACGTCTGAAATCCATCAACCCACCTTAATAGGTTTCGGACAACCTTTACCCTTGACTTGTACACCCTCTAAATCAGCACGATATTTCTCCACTTCCTGTTGGGTCATGCGTGCTAGCTCGGGTACTTCTACATAGAAATTTTTACGGAATGATGCATAATCCACACCCGAATGATCGATTTTAGCCAATTCTTTGCGATGCTTATTCGCTAAATTAGCTGCAGTATCTTTAATATCTTCAAGCTCTTCTTCACTAGAATACTCTAAACTATCCATATTTTGTTCGAGAAGTTCCCCTTTGTTTTTTCTTTGAGTTGGCTTTTTGGCAACACCAGTCAATATTACAACGCCTTGATTTTTCTTAGGCTGCGTAATGATATGGTTAACTTTACGCACCTCTTTATCAACTTCCTGCATGTACGCATCCAAAGGATCAATTTCACCGTCATCTTCCTCTTCTTTCACCTTTTCTACTATTGCGATGACTTGCGGCTTTTCCTTTACTTCTTGCATTTTTGCTTCCGCTTCTCTTTCTTCTTCACGTAAAGCTTCAATTTTTGCTTTAGCTGCTGATACAACACTTTTGTTAAACTTTAATTTGTCTACTTTTTCCTCATCCTCGTCGTCCTTAAATTTTTTAAGACGATGAAACTTTGACGGTGGTGAATCTGGTTCACGTTTTATTTCTATTGGCGTAACGTTATCCTCTTCTTCTGATTCATCTTCTAAACTCCACTTTTTAGCCGTTACTGAAGCTACGGGTTGGGGAATCAACGACTTTAAATCCTTTTTGTTAGCTTCTAACTCTTTAAGTTTACGTTCTGCCCGCCAACGTTCTATACGTTCACGGCGCTTAATCATTTCCATCTCTAAACGTCGTTGCTCTTCTTCCTTGTCTAGCTCCTCCTCTTCCTCCTCCTCCTCCTCCTCTTCCACATCATCCTCGTCAGCGTCACCATCGTCATTAGAAGAAGAGCCAGAGTCTGCTTTAAGAATCACTGGTGGAGTTGAGGATTTACGCTGTACATTTTGCTCTAATTCCCTTTCCTTTTCACGCTCACGTTCGCGTTCCCGTTCTCTTTCACGTTCACGCTCACGTTCTCGTTCTTTTTCGCGGTCACGCTCTCGTTCTCTCTCTAGTATACGTCTACATTAGATAAATAAAAGAGGGAAAAATATTTAATTACACAAATTTTCTTCAGATGCCTATATACTTACACTCGCTCTCTTTCGTATTCCTTTGATTTGGATCTAGAGCGTCTACGCCGTTTTTCGTCTCGACGTCTTTCCGCGTCCTTAAATTCTCTGTCTCGTTTCAGACGTTCATCGCGAGAGCGACTGCCACCTCTACCATTACGAGAAGATCTCATGTCTTTTGGCGTACGAGATCTGCTCCTACTGCCATGGCGGCGTTTGCGATCGCGTTCACTGTAACGTTCACGTTCATAATCACGTTCCCTATCACGTTCTCGTTCACGTTCTCTCTCCCGTTCTCTTTCACGCTCTCGGTCGCGGTCTCTCCTGTAAAGAAAAATTTTAATCCTTTTGCTACAAATCGGTAGAATTGATATCCGTCTTACCCAGAGCTACTTTTTGACATATTTTTTTTTATTAATTTATGCTTTTTAAATATATGTGTCCAATTATAGAGAATTCCTTATTTTAGTTCGCCTTTAACCGTAATTTTCACAAATTAGTAAACGCCGCATGAAAGAAAAAACAATAAAACGCTTAAGAACCCAAAACCTCATTGGCTATAAAGTTTGTCATGTAGCAGCCAGCTGATAAAGCTGAATAGTTGCCTTATTTAATCAAAATAAATGATGTTGCCAGATGGTTTTTGATCCATTTCAATCCTTTGGGGAAGAAAAGCAAAAGTACGCCCCAAGTAATAATTGGATACTTATAAGGAGGCGACACAATGAGCTGTTATTCCTGTTTTCGCGATGTGTCCAGCTTTCCTGACTTTTTACATAACATTAAGGAAATTGACAAATGATATGTTTGCCCATATAAAACAAAACCAAAAAAAATTACAAGAAATGATGATTGTCCTTTTTAAATTTTAAGACCATTTATCTAATCTATATTTATCTTACTTTAATAGACATTTGCTTATATTCTGCGATTTGCAATTTTAATTTATACCATGCATTGACCTTAAAGTTGAAATTGCTCTATTAGAGAGTCATAAATGATAATTTCTAAATTATAAATCAATTGGTATACAAACAGGCTTTCGACGGTGTTATAAAATCTAAGCAGATTATGAAGGTTAGCAAAATTTTTATTTTTTATAAATTTGTTGTTTATGTTTACGTTGATTACTTTTTTTTTAGTTATAAAACCATATGTCTTTATTTACATTTCCCTGCAAAACAATATGGTAGCGCGGCTGCTCATTGTGTTTACCGCGTGGGACTTCTTAACCCGAAAATGAAAACGGCGCGCTATTGTATCAAGCCCTTTGCTTAAATTTTTGTCGCGATTTTGAAGGGACGAAAGGCAATGATAATAACATCAACTTGAATGAATTTAATAATAATAATTTAGTGGTTCTTAATAATATTTGCACTATTTAGAAACAAGATAATAATATAAAATTTATATTTTGCTGTGAAGGATAAATAAATAACCGCGCATTCAATGTGACATCACGGACGAAACTTCAAATAAAAATAATGGGCAAGTTCAATTCGGAAGAATAGGCTTCACTCTTTCGTAGTGTTAGGAGAAGTAGGTTGTACTGCCAAGATCTGCGTGTTTGCCTTTAACCTTGGAAGCTTAAAAGGTGAGTTTTCCAATTCTTCAATGCAAAATTTGCAATTTTCGAGATGAGGCTGTTCTTACTTATGCTCTAACTTTATAGTAAGAAATGTTTGACAACCCTGATTTAGTCTGACTGCGTTGTTTTCTTGTTTTTCTTTAGACATAGTTCACTTAAATAATCGCTCTTTTTTTAAGAACAAAAGCAAAAATATTGCAACACATAAATAGTAAAAATTTTAGAAAGCGAATTTGTTTGGAATAGTTTGTTTTAATTAACGGCTTCAAAATTGGCAAAATAAGGAAAAATAAGAAAATGAGCTACAGTGACAAAAGTGACGGGATTACTAAAGAGGAGTGGATGTTGCGTCTGGAGCAATTTCCTTTTAAGCAAGCGGACATGAATCGCTTAATAATGAATTACTTGGTAACGGGTGAGTTAGTATGTGATTATAATATAAAAACTTTGTCGCTGAATCTTGTATTCATAGAAGGCTTCAAAGAAGCGGCCGAAAAATTTCAATTAGAAGCTGGCCTTGAGCCTAGCGTTGAATTGAATTCTTTGGATGATCGGATTTTAATACGAGAAGCTGTGCAAAATGGTCGCATACATGATGCTACGCATTTAGTTAATCGACTGCATCCCGAATTGTTAGATAATGATCGTTACTTATTTTTTCATTTGCAACAGTTACAATTAATTGAACTAATCAGGTATTTGCATATAATTCCAATAAGCAATTTAGTTTTTAAAAACACTTCGATTTTTCAAATAGAGCTGGTAAAATAGACGACGCTCTGACATTTGCCCAAAACAAGTTATCCGAAGCTGGTGAAGACATACCAGAGGTTCTTAGTGAATTGGAACGTACTTTGGCTTTATTAGCATTTGAAAAGCCACAAGAAAGCCCTTTTGCTTACCTACTGGAACAATCACATAGACATAAGGTAATTATACTTCTTGAAAATAAGTTTCATCATGATTGAAATTCGTTCATTTATTAATTTGCTAATTTATCCAGATTGCCAGTGAATTAAATGCTGCCATATTAAAATGTGAGCATAGTGCTGACTCAACACCAAAAATTATGTTCTTATTAAAATTGATTATGTGGGCACAATCTAAACTTGATGCTCGCGAAGTTAGTTATCCGAAAATGAAAGATTTGGAAACGGCTCTTATCGAACCCAAATAAATTCCGAGTTAATCGCCAAGAAATATCAAGTAATGGTTCGTTTTGTGTTTTGTTTACTATGAAGATATTTTTTAGCAATTTAGAGATGTTTGTATAAATTTAGTTTCATTTTTTATATCGTAATTATTTACTGTAATTGATAAAAAAAAAAAAATTCCAAAAATTCAATTCATACAAGTAATGATTTAATTAGTAATACACCATTTTGATAAATTTGGCAAAATAAATACTGTTCACTACTTAAAACAATCAGAGTACTTTAACAATTTGATACAATCTCAAAATATTTGCTATTAACGTAATTGCCTTAAGGCATTTGGATTTTGTATAAACAGAAGCGGAAATCGTTTAGTTAAAAATATTTTTCAGAATTTAATCAATTTTTTTTAGTTTTTAGATAAGATATGGTAAACTTCTGTTAAATAAACTGAAAATGTAAGAATTTTTTACCAACCAAAAAATAAATATAAATCCTTATCCATAAGACCAACATTCCTTCGGATACCGCAGACGTCGTTCGGTCCAGAAGTATATCTTCGAGTATCTCTAGCGTAGCTAAGAGAAAAGCCGGGCTTTTGCAGGCTCCCTGTTCAAAGAAAACTATAAAATAAATATTCCTTTTTGTTTGGGTAAGCAAGCATTTATTGTAACTCATAGCATTATCGGAAAAATTGTGTTTATCAAATAAATTTTTGTCTTTGCATTGTGTTACCACAATCATTTTGTTATTGGCCAGCATTTTTTCATTATAGTTGAGGGCTTTATCCCATTCTAAACGTGACGAATATTTAAGATGTACCTAATTGCGAAAGCAGAACTGTATAGCGTAAGGTTGTCGCAGAAAGAAAATTAATATTTTACTGTATTAATATATTTACTATTTCGATAATTAATATAAAAAATTATATTATATTTTATTATCATTTAAGATTCATGAAAATATTAAAATAAATGGCTTACCAGCACCTAAGTAAGTAAAAGAAGCAACGCGAGCATTCAGGTAAACCACTTCTCTAAGCACTTTCAATATTTTTGACAAAATAAAATCCACGCTACAAAATTTGGTATTCCTTTAGATACAAGCTAGTAAACAAAATATTAAATTGTGACGTAAACTGCCTTTCGATTCTACAAAGTCTTTTTCAGAGCGTAGCTATGGCACTATATAGGTCTAGTTTTTATTACATCGACCGATTTGGAATCATTTTTTTAATGCTCCTAAGCTTATGTGTACGTCTATCGACCTTGTTGTCTGGTGTTTATTCATTGCACTAAACTAATTTAATAAGTCTTTTATTCTTTTGATGTCATTCGTAGTCAGTTTCACATTTTCAGTGGCGTGAAATTCATTTACACGAGAAGGTCTTAATAATCGAACTAAAGTAGCTACTAATCATTACTACTACTATTCTGACGTTATTGTTTTATTAAATCACCTCAGATCATGCTATTTGATGCTCAGATGGTTATAATTTTTTTTTTTGTTTATTAATCATAAATTATGGACAATTTCAGTGTAGGGAATAGTACCTTTTTTGGGATTTTTTCGAATTTTTGTTTTTATTCTATTACCAAAAGCTGTCAATACCAAAGATCCCTTTCTTCCATTGCGTTTTATAATATCACTTCTAGTAAGCTTTTGTATAAATATTGCACGTATTGAAATATAAAATTTCATACATTTAGTTATACATATATGGACGACAAAATTGACATTCGAGCAGCAAGCGAAGCATAAGATATCACACATTTCTGCCAAAACAGTTTAACAGCTGATCTTATCTTATCTTGTATTTGGCGTTTAAGCTGAGTGTGGAGATTACAAAAGCATGACCTGGTTTGTGATTTACTTTTCAGCAGATTACAGTGCGTTTCTATTATTATAACAGAGTGTAGTGCAACGCAGAGACACCATTTTTAAAAATTTAAAGAAAATATAGAAGAAACGTGTATAAAAAATGAAAGAAAAAAAAATTACAATGTTTTTATATGATTTGGTGGGAAATAAGCAAAGGTACGACCATAAAAAATTTTTCCTTTATTAGTTTATTTGTTGATCAACTTCATTAGATTGCTGAAACATTTGAGGACTAAGAATAACTCGCTCCTATTTCGGCGTCTTCAAATCAAGTTTCCTGGGCTTATTCAAGGGGAGACATAGATCGTAACCATTAAAATCCAGCGCACATATATTATGCAAGATGTATTCTGCACAATATTTTTACGAAATGAAGTATAAATGCTGAAATGGGGTCAGAATCAACTGGTTCTGTGGACGAAGCTATTGTCAGCAGAAATCCAGCCGACATCCAACTAGAAGGAAAAAAAATTAAAACAAATTATATAAACATATTGTAATGTATATAAAATAAATTGTTTATTTTCTGATAAAAACTTTTAATAAACTTCATTTAAGAAAATAAAAATATTTCAACACCTTTATTTTAAAAAAATAAAAACGATTTGAAATGTTCACTTTAAAAAATAAATGTCAATGCAAACGAGCCCTATATCAGTTCATTATTCCAATGCTGTAAGGATTGAAGATAAAAGTAACATTTTTTTAAATAAATGCTTTTCTATAAATACACTTATACTTATTTTTTTCGGGTAGGTCCAGTTAAATTTGCAGACAATTCTCGCCATAAATTTTTCATTTACTGTGGATATGTCTAAATTAGTTTTTTCTTTTAAATATCTGTATCGTTTTTCAGCAAACGACAAATAATAATTTAATTGCTATTACTATTTACACACGCGAAAAGTAATATATTAATTCTTACATTAAGATTGTGCATTAATAATTTACCCTTAACTTATTCCATTTTGCATATATATTTTTTTTTTTGGCAAAGCCGTATATTTTCTTTTTTCTTTAACACTTCAAATTGTAGTTTTTATAATCTAACAACGCTAATTAAATGTAAAATTTTTCTTGGAGAGCTTTGTAGTCATTTTTACTTTGGAATATGAAATTTGATACAAAATGACAGCAAACGATGACAGCCAAACAGAAGAATAAATGTTATAATAGCTGAACAATAACAACACCAGAATATGGCTGTAATTTAAAAAGGAAGGGAAATCAAAACAAAACCAATAAATTCGGTGGGTTAGGTAAAAATATGAGTAGAACTTGACAAAAACAGCCTTATTATAAACTAGAAGATATACAACAACGATAATATACAATGACGCAATATTTATTATTTTGTATTGTTTCAATAATAGTTCTATTTGAAAAAAAAATCTTTTGATATCTTTAAAAAATCGTTGCCTTAAATTTTTTCCATGATGCTCTGCATATTGCACTAGATCGTCATGTATCTTACCAATTCCTGGTAGTTTTTCCAAAACATTTCCAATTTGGATTTGAAAGCGCAGAATTTCAGATAAATCTTTCTATTAAAAATATTTATTAGCTGGCAATACCTTTTCTTGCTAAATTACAAAATTAAATTTCCTTCAATTTTTATCTATAAGATAACTTGTCACGTCAATAAAAAGAGAGTGAACCTTTCTCCAATTATTTACAGGAACTGATTTTTTTTAAACAAATTCGAATAGAATAAGTTTTTTAACTAGTGAAACGAAATGTTGACATTAAACTATCTCAACACGAAAATAAAACAGTGATTAGTTGTTGGTCATAATAACAACATAAGTTTAATAATTTGTAATTAGATTGGTTGAAGAAGTGTTGGCAAAAGCAATACATAATGCTAAAGAGTGGCGGGGGAATTAGCAAGCGCGCTGGATCTAGACATGTTTTAATAGTTCTTACCTTATGTATCCTGTGGTACATAGTATCGTCCAGCAATAATGTGATAGGTAAAATGGTGCTCAATGAATTCCCTTATCCGATGACTGTGACTATGATACAATTGTGCAGTATCACATTATATAGTGGCCCTTTTTTCAATTTGTGGGGTATTCGGAAGTACCAGGACATGGAACGTAATTATTATTTACGTATAATAGTACCTTTGGCTTTTGGTAAATTCTTCTCATCTGTTGCCTCACATGTATCATTATGGAAAGTGCCAGTTTCTTATGCACATACAGGTAGATCTGTGCTTTCATGATCTTATATTTAACCAAATAAAATAAAACTCATATATGCATTTCAGTTAAAGCAACAATGCCATTATTTACGGTTATATTAACGCGCTTAATATTTAATGAAAAGCAGCCGACCTTGGTGTACCTAAGCCTGATACCTATAATAACGGGTGTGTGTATAGCAACAGTGACCGAAATCTCATTTGATATGATGGGCTTGATTTCAGCTCTTATATCTACAATGGGATTTTCATTACAAAATATCTTTTCAAAAAAGGTAAGTTAACAAATATTTTAGTTAGTTCATTATACATAAGCAAAAGTATTTTTTTAGGCATAGCATAAATAATCAATTGATATTAATTGAATTTTGTTGTTATTACATGTTTTTTGTAAAGAAAATTTTGCTAATAGAGATCCAATATATTTCTTACTAATATAGTGTTTACCTTTCGAGCAATTATGAAATTTGTTAATTGTTTATTTTTATTTATCAATTTTTTAGGTTCTTAAAGACACAGGTATACATCATCTACGTTTATTGCATTTGCTTGGTAAATTGGCGCTTTATATGTTTTTGCCAGTTTGGTTATATCTCGACAGTTTTCAAATAATAAAACATCCAATTGTTGTAAGTATAACGATTAATGAATATATTGATTACGTAATTGAAAATTTTAAGAATTTTTTTCAAATTTAAGGGATTGAAAAAGAAAAAAATTTGATAACCTAGCATTTTTACATTACATTATCATTGTAATAAGTTTCTCTAAACGCTTAAGTTTACTTTGGAAGAGAAAGCAAAACGAACGATGTCGTTATTATATATATAGAAACCGTTCTGGGTAGTGGAATTTCCTGACGATGCAATAGCGTTACAATATGCTTCACGGTCCCACAGCGCAAATTATAGGACCTATTATAAGAATTTGAACCATTTTATTCAACAAAATCAACCTCATCTAAGTTGGCTATTTAAACAGGAGACTTCGTTTAAAATAACCGTTGAAACGTATATGAACCATTTATCACAAAAAGAGAAAATCGAAAGAATTGAAAGCTTGGATTATTTGCCGTTAAAGGGTATTGTAGTAGTTGCAATTGCCAAAAGTAGAATGGTGGTATGCAGAATTCTGGGGTCCAGATATATATCTTTGTGCTCTCTCCATTCTCAAATAACATATGATACTTGATGACTTATGTGTACATTTTTTTTTTCTTTATATGTATCATCAGAAGACAGATAGCTTTTGCTTTTCTCATCCACTGCACACTACACAGTATTGCAGTTAAAATAAGATTCATATTGTGGAAGAACGCTTCACTATGCCATGGGTTTTTCACGCACAACAATTTAGAAGCAAACTGAACATTCCAAAAAGCAAAAAAATCTTGAAACTGTGAACTAAGAAAGAGACAAAGAAATTATTGACTTTTGACCGATTGACCGATTCGCCTTCATTTTAATTTTGTCTGCGGATATACAAACTTATTCTTCCAGAAAAATCGCAAACATCGTAATCATTCTCTACAGACGGATGGGCATATATAAATATTTTTCATTTTAAAATAACATACATTTGCAGCGTTCATCGCAATATAACAGTGCGTTTAAGCTAAAAAAAATGAGATATATATAATGGTCGATGAGGCTTGAGTCTACTACGACGCAGAACGCCCTGGATATTTAATTTCCAAATGCCGTATAATCTGGACTGTAAGCCCAAACCCGAAATGTGTTTGCCAAATTCTATATTTACTCCTAGCTTCTTCAAAAACTTTGAGAAACGGAAACCGACCTATGTTACACACATATCTACTTTATCTAATACTTTTCTCTGACTGTTACAAAATAAATAATTTTTCGATGGTGACTACAAGAGTGACTGATTAATCAGTTAACCGTATCAACTTTAGCGATATACTCGAATACTTATATACTTATCAAACAGAGACTATATATATTATATAAAACTAGGTTGTAATGAGACGAGATGACGAAACGATAAAAATATTTTCCAAAACACATTATTACGGCAATTACACATTCGTGAAGACAAAATTTTATGAAGACAATCCGACAAGAACAGATGTACGGATCGTGACATATATATATTTGCGATACTTAATTAAGTACTTATGAAAATTCTCTAAAATTAAAAAAAAAAAAAAAAAAAACTCACATTAAGAGAGAGTTTTTGTATAAGAAATCGCGAAAAACTTTTCGAAAAGATTTCAGGTTTTATTTTTTGGTAAATTTTTGATTTCCTAAAAGTGTGAACATCAATTTTTAAAGGTAATTACAGCTACAATATCAGCAATCAATGCATCAACTGTTTACACATACTGCATGGCTCTCATCAGTGTCGCAGTGTTTCTTTCCTTCTTAGTAGAATGATTAGTATTTTTTTAAAATTTTTTATTTAAAAATTATTATGAATAAGTCGCATAAAATTTTCATTTATATAATTGCTTTTCCTTTTCTTTTTTTAGACCAATTTCGATTATCGTGTGATAGCATTACTCTTTGTTGATGGTGTATTGAATTGGTTGCAAAACATAATTGCGTTTTCGGTGTTGTCATTGGTAACGCCGCTTACCTATGCCGTAGCTAGTGCGTCGAAGCGTATTTTTGTAATTGGAGTATCATTAATAATACTAGGGAATCCAGTTACTTGGATAAATTGTTTCGGTATGACTTTGGCTATCCTTGGTGTGCTTTGTTATAATAGAGCAAAACATTACTCAAAAGAACGTGAATTATTACCAGTAGCTGTTCAGAATGGTAATTTAAAAAAATATACAACCCTACGAAATCAAGATTCTTATCATATGAACACCACTAAACCAAATGGCTACACCATGGGCAAAAAGAATAGCTTATTAGCTACTGGCAGTGGGATCGTACAGAATGGTAGCACAACGCATATTTTATTCGTTTAGAATAAGTAAATTTGTGTAACCTTTTTAGACAAAATTTTAACAACATTTTTTATTACACTTTTTAATTATGTCTATAACCTTAGCGGGCGTTTAAGTTTTGTTATTCCCTATGTAATTTATAAGAAGAAGAGAATTTCGGAAATCTTTTTCTAGTTTCTAGTGCTAAATACTAAAACCCTTGAGAAGAACGAAACTATAATTTATAAATTTAGAAAAATTTGAAATATTTCGATAATTTTCGATATTCGATTATAAAAACTGGCCTCGCGAAATACTCCGTTTATATTATGTATCCAACCAACCAAATTCCGTTATGATTACGCGTATCAAAAATTAATCTTCTAAATGCTATCATAACATCTATGAAAAACGCATTAAGTGTAAAGCATATTTTCATCAATTATCTACGGAAAAATTTATAATTTCTATATTAATATAAGGTGAAATTATTTTTACATACAATAATTTTTGCATAAACAATGTGTATTAAAAAAAAAAAAAAAAAAAAGAATAGAAAAAAAATGCGGCAAAGACGATCGATTGTCACCTTCTTTACGCTTTAAATATATTTTTATGTAATATTTTGCTCCCTTTATATTTAGAACATATGTTGGATACCTGTTTTCTTCATAATCAGTTTGTACATAGATAGAAAAGGTTTTTGATTCATATCTCTGTAATGTTAGCTTTTGTTGACCTACCTAATTACAATTGTGATTAATTTATTATCGTACCACAGTAAGTATTGTTACAAAATTTTAATGTATCTAAATTTGTACAGATATGAGTATTTTTTTGGAATCACTGAACAAATGTTTTTATATTTAACGAAAAACAAAAGCAAAAAAAAAAAAAATTATTTTTTGCTAACAAAAGCAATAATTTATCGTTATTCACAAAATGTTTTATTTTATAAATCAAATGAACTTGTGTATGTGTACGAATTGTTTTATATATCTTTATATGTAATGTAATAGAACAGATTGAAAATTCAAAGCTGAAAGCAATATTTATGTATATGTGAAATTGCAGATTCATCTTAATAAACAATTATATATATATATATATATATATTTATTTAAAAAAAAAAAAAAAGAAAAGGAAAAAGTTACTTATGTATTGAGTTGAGGCGTAGCCGGTTGTCTAATGAACTCATTAGCTCATTGAGTAATTGCCCGAGCTTTTTAGTACATTTTCGGGAACATATTAAATTATTAAACTCACAATGATTCCTCTTTTTTTGTATTATTTACACAAATGCTCTTATTACTATGCTTTCCCTTATCTTATGCGTAGCATTGACAATGAAAATGACTTGCCTTCCGTCAAATTGTAAGTAGAAGCCTCGGAATTGAACATTTATTGCAAATTTTCTTTGCAAGAAAAATTAAGCAATTTTTTATTCCACATTTCCCAAAGTAAATCACTATCGACTATTCATTATCAGTGTGGACTTTTAATTAATTTAATCTTTTACTCTTCATTTAGCTGAGATATTAAAACACAAATTTAATAAGTGAATATAATAGGGCGGCCGACCTTCAAATACCCTACACCATTTCGCTTAAGACAGTCACTGATATAACTCACTTCTCAAGATAAGGTCTTATATACGGGAAGTGGTCGAAAAAGTGTTCCAATCTGAATCATTTTCAACAAGATTCGTCCTTGGGTTAAAGCATGTCGGTATATTAAATTTCAACAAAATATGTCGGAAATTACGATCTGTAGATTGAATACAAGAATCCAAGACGGACGGACGGACAAACCGACAGACAAGCTTAGACTGATTCGGCAAGTGATTCTGAATCGGTCGATGTAATGAAAGGTGGATCTTAAGCCCTGCTAGATGTTACATACAAGCGTATTTACATAATATACCTTGTACCACAAGCGATGTACGGTATAAAAATCTACTATGACAGCCATACCAGATGGTTGTTTTTACTCTGAGATTCATATAATATCTCGCGTATTACAAATACGTATCTAGATCTCTTCTTACTTACTATGATTAAAACAGCTTAGCTGTTTTGCTCACAGAAAAGATAACAAATTTGTTGTGACCATTCGTGACGGTTATCTTTACAAAATGTGTGATGGCAAGCAATTCAATAAAAGTGGAAGAAATTTCTACCAACACTTTATTTCTAAGGTTTCGGATAGACGCTTAACTACTGGGCAGCTGAGCAGATTATGTTCGACAGATCGATCGTTGGCGTATATATCATAAGCGTTATTGTAATAAAGAACAAGTTTTTCTTAGCATAAAAACCTTACACAAGACCCTTCGTCATTTGACTTATTTATCGCGTGGATATCGTTTCGAGGATGCTCATCAAAACTACATTTATTGATAGCAAAATTCTTATCAAAAATATGACAAAGTTCTTAATAACGAAATATTTAGCTATGCGAGACTTCATCACCAAGAGATACAAAATTTTTCGAAAAAGGGAGGGTTCATTACTTCGATTAATCCCTTAACATAAAGAAAGAAAGAGAGAGAGAGAGTGAGAGAGAGAGAGAGAGAGGGGACAGGCAACTCACTAGAAATAACATTACGGATATGATGGGGACTTGAGCGTGTTAATTCAGTCGAACCTTTTAGTATTCTATATTCCTATATACCTATATGTTGTTGTTGTATGTACAAATTCGCCCTCTGACGGGACTAATGCTCTTTACGCGGTTGCAGCTTTTTTAGAGGCAATTCTGATTGTCATAAGTCATTAGTTCGATGATGTTACATCTAGACTTAAGACTGAAGAAGCCTTTCGAGACTTTCTCATAATGTCCTCGAAAACGTTAAGCGCTGCCCAGAAATCGATTAGATTTCATTTAATTGAGTTTAATTGCTTTAATAAAGTGCATAGCCATTCATTGCGCATAGCATAGATAAAGTTTTATATATTTTCTGCACAGAATTCTTGTAACTTTCAGAAAAGGTGAGAAAGCGTCGACCTTTACCAATCGAAACGTTTATAGTGCCTTACTAGAAGGGCAAAAAAAGCTGAATTCCTAAAAGTTAGATCAAAGGCATAGATCCCGTACGTATCTAAGCAGTAAGCTTTAAATTATTTAAAGCTTTAAAGCTCTCAAGGATTTTAGTTTTCAAGAGATCGAGAGATGATCACTACACCAGCAATGTGTACCATTGAAGTCTTCGCCAAGAATGATGTGTGTCGATGTACAAAAAAATTGTATTGAAGCTATTGGTCGCAATTTTTCGAGATCTTTTTATAAAATTTTGTACACTGCCCTTGAATATTTTGAATTACTTAAGTATATTTTACAATCACGCATAATAAATAAAAAAGATAGCGTTATCTCTCTATCTACATATTAATAATGATTATTAACTTTATAGTGTGCATTCGATCCTGAAGATATATAAAAATGCTGGAGTAAATATTAAAATTATCGCAATTTTCGAATTTTTAATAACTTAATTAAAAGCAACAATCGTATGGAACACAAAATTTGTCTATTATTGATTTTCGTGAATTCGCTCATAATCATCTTAATTTATTCGTGAATTAACGATTGAGAAAACTTTTTTAATTAACATATTATTATTTTTAATAAATACAAAACATTTGATATTGTAATAAAAATAGAAATTTAATCATTAAGTTATTGTTTTTTCAAGCCATGTTAAACGATTCACTGCCTCAAAGCCTAATTGCTCGTGTAACTTGAGTGAGTTTGCATTCTCATTCGAAACATAACTGTACATATCTAAGCCATGCTGTATACATAAACGCTTCAACTCGGCAGCTAATAGAAATTTCGCGAAACCTTTACGTCTTTCCGATTCTATTGTATAAAGAAAACTGAAATATGTGCGCTCGTTAAAGATATTCAAAAAAAAAATTCATAGATTAAATGCAATTCAATTAAATTAGTGCAAGCAAGTACCCTGGTGTAAAAAATTCATTTGTCGCCAGCCAACATATGGGTTGTCCATTAGAGTTTTGACAAAAGATTCCCAATCCACCATTGAACTCTATAGATTCCTTTACAAGGTAAAAAGTATTTTCCGATTTATAATACCAATGATTAGCAATAATTTCTGAATGCTTATTCGAATTTAGTGGAGCTATACGAATCCCACTCGGTAATGTGCTATAAACAAAATAATAAAGAAATTTTTCGAAACATTTTTCCATTGTATTACTTACATATTATATACAAGTTTATCAATTTTCTCTTTGCTAATCCACATAATGTTTTCCACGGGAAGAACAAGCCAATCGTCACATTTTTTTTGAACAATTCCCTTAACTAAATCTAAATACTGTTCATTGCACATTATATCTAAAAATTTATGCTGCCAATTAATTAATTTCGTTTCCTGAATGCATTCCATTAACTCTGCGCCATTTGGCTCTAAAGTAAATAATCCGATAACATAATCCTTTATTGAAAGACAGAAAAAAAAAAAAAAAAAAATGTATATATATATATATCGAATAATATTTTATATAGAAAGGTTAGTAAGAAAATATTTATTCGACCTTGATCGAACGTTTTATACCCATCACCGTCTAATACGGATCAATAATGTGTACAGTTTGTATTGTCTCCGAAGTTTCGTTTTCGATGCAGCAAACGTTTTCATAAAAGAACGTAATTTTAATATTTTATAAATGTTAAGAAGGCGTGGCCGATTTTTATCATTTTCATACAATTGCTTCAGCATCACACACTCACATTGTTATCGTTATATCACTTGTGAGCAAAAAACTAAAAAAAAAAAACTAAAGTTTTCCTTTCCAAATAGAGTTAGTTGGTCTCAGATTACGCTGCACTGTAATCGTGGCCTTTAATCGATTTCGCTCAATTTCAATACCGTCGTCGTGTACGTGCGAATTTTCAAACTTTTGCGCCAAATTTCATGCTGATTGATGCATTTTTACGCCCAGGCGAATAATTCCCATAGTCAGATTGATGGACAAACCTATTGAAATCGATTTACAATTTGATGCTGATCAAGACTATATATATGTACACTTTTTAGTATCTTTAGGATATTTGCTTTGCTTTGCTAACGTTTTGATAAAGATGAATATATGGCCGTCATTTGTGATGGGTGATGGGTGATGGGTGTAAAAAGTAATTCTGTCTTACTTTGAATCCTTTACCTTCAATCCGCTTATACTAATAAGCGTGCAATTCTCCATTTTACCATAACGATGACGATAAAATTGAAAATTCCAACGATCGGATTTTAAGTTTGCACGATTTTCATTAATTTTATCGTAATGATACCAATAATTATAAATTGTATTATAGCTACGTATTTCACGCGGTAAATGTTTCTTTAATATATCCAAGAATGATGTTAAAACTGCTTTATCACATTCCTTAAGTATATCGTTATTCGATGTCATTGCGTATATTTTGAAATTTAGAATTATGTTCACAAATTTGAACGATGGGATAGATAGATAGATAGATAATAATGTTACTTCAACTTTTTGTAAGCAACACAAGATAACTAAGATAAGCAAAGTAACTAAATCTAATTCATGTAATTAAATGCTTTATCTCATTTTTCTAAAAATAAATCAATCTTTACTTTACTTTTGATGGTCAAATGAATGCTGTGTTCGCTATATGCTTTAATAATATATTAATATATATATATATATATATATATAATAAACATAGCAGTTTCTCACGTCTTTATAGTCAAATATTTATATATTTATATATTTAATTTAAATTAAAAATTTATTTGTATTTTTTTTTTTTTTTTTTTTTAAATAACTAAATAAGAAAAACGTCCCGCCCAAGTGATGTATTTGTTGCTCTCTTACTATATTACAAGATTCCTCAAGCACTGTACATAATAATATTAATGAAAATGTAAAGGAGAGAAACTGTTGTTGATGTTGATTTTTTTTTTTTGCTAATTAATTTAATTTTCATTAAATTTCTAGTTTAGTGCAAAACAATTGATGTGAAAATGACAAACTGCAACGGCAATGCAAGCAAACAAATTCGAGCATCGTGCAATAGTATGCGTGAGAATTTTAATTAAAAGACACATAGTGTCTATTAACAAAATTGTTAATAACAATTTACGTTTACGAGAAATTATATATTGTGAGGAACAACCAAGTTAGCATTAGGTACAGGGAAATTGAGAATAATTAGCTTAAGCCAAAGTTTAGTTAGGTTAGTGAGTGCTAGAGTAAGTTAGAGAAAGGGAGTTGGTCGCGGGGTGAGTTAAAGAGTGGACGTTTTGGTCTGACTGGTGCGGTCACCGTGACAGTGGTCATAGATCGATCCTTGAATCGAGAAAATTAATTTTTCATTTTAAGCAGAACAAAGAAACTCATCTTCAGAAAGAAAATTTTTGCATGTAAGCAAAAGAAAATATCAAAAATTACTAAGAATAAATAGAAAATATAGGATAAAGTGTGAAAATGAATTTATTTTAATAAAAACTCATTTATAAATTACTTACAACGATATTTTATACAAAAAATGAAACAAAGAAATGTCTTGCGAAACAAATATCATGGAGCCGCTGAGTTACTCCAGCAACAGATTTTGGGCAAAAATGGCCCTCATAATATATGCATTATGGGTATGTGTATGTGTGTGTGTGTGTGTGTGTGTGTGTGTGCTATAATATCTGAATAAATTTATTTTAATTAATTTTTAGAAAGAAATAAAATCTTTTTACTCTAATTTCTGTCTCAAGTGTTTATTTATTAATCGCGCTTACACACCTATTAACTCTTTTTTTACACGATATTTTTTACAAAAGATTGAAAAAAAACGATATATAAAAATAAAAAAAAATACACTTTTTTACACTTTTTTTTTTTTTCTAACCCCAAAAAAAAAAAAAAAAAAAAAAAAAAGGAGAGGTTTTTTAAATCTTAATTTTGACAGTGTCTCAACGAATATTTATTTTATTATAAAACAACAAAAATACAATTGAAAGAATATTGTAATCACAAGTCAGTCGATTTATGCCCACGCATAAGTTAGTGATTTGCTTTACTTCTACTTGGCCGTTAATAGCGGACGAACGGAATTCTTCATTTTAATCCAATCGGTTACTTGCGTTAAATATACGCGACATATCTTTTTTTGCACGATTTTTTGCAAAAATTATATAATTTCTTCATCTTACACGATTTTTTAAAATTTTGGAACATATCACTAAACTTACCACGTGTCGTATGTATATTTTTACACCTCTTTTTCACGAATTTCTAAGGAACGCATTTACCGTGCAAAAAAAGATTTGGGTGTATTTAATGTTTTTTGATTGCTCATTGGCAGGGGATGCGAATATTCTAAATTTTCTTCTTGTGTCTTATGGTTTATAAGTTGATTTATGTATATGTATCGTTAAATACGAAAAAACTCTTTCGATATTATATAAACTTATTTTGCATGAGTCACTTCGATGATACAAATGCAGACATAAGGCATTCCAGCTTCCAAAAGCAAATTTACTATATTTAAAATAATTTTCTTTAAATAATCAAATTTTAAGACGTAACATGACAACAATTTGCATGGCCCTTGAATAATACATCTTTCCGTTTTTCACAACAACGAGACAAGAACGAAAAAAAGGGTTAGATAGGTAGACAGATGGAGAGGGAGAGAGAGGGCAATATATAAAAATTTATCAATACTTATTTTCTGTCCTATTTTTTGACGCGTGTTATACAAACGCGGTCACAATTTTTCCGCCGTGTAATACGAATCCCTCTTATAGAGCGATCCACTGTAATACATTTAATCAGGATAACGTTGTGAATCTAATATCTGTTGCATTTGAAAGAGTTAACATAGAAAGTTGAAACTTGGCATATGCTCTCTCACAGAGATACTTTGTAAATTTCTAAGATAAAATTTATCTTTTAAGAGCCGCGTCCACAATAGCTGTAAAATTTTTATGTTCAGTTGAAAATAGATAGAGGTTAAGCTGACTGAAACTCGCTATATGTACACTTGATTGATTTTTGCGAGACAGCGAAAAAGTGCATTCGATATGTTCTAAAAAAACAATATGAAGAAGAAGATAAGAAAGTTATATTGGGCGGAATCTGAATCTCGCCAATCCATCACTATGTTTTTCGCCTTCTACTCACCGCATTCTTTTATTTGATACCCATATCGGTGTTATCGGTGGTAAGAAAACACATTCGTTTTAAAATTAATCCATTTTTAGGCAGAAAATTTATCTTCATTTAAGGAGTGCAATATTCGGTCTTATTTATCTTATGATAAATAAGCATTAAATCTCAAAAAAGTTTGAAAAAAAAAAAAAAAATTGAATTTAATCAAATGTAACTTTGTGTGTGTATGGCGGATGTTTTCCATTTTTTGCACGTAAGGAGTAGAGTGCTTCGTAAAATATATGTAGAAAATTCCAAGTTTTTAAATTTTGCAATTTTTGAGTAACGAGCAAAAATTCAAAAATTCAAAAAAAAAACAACAAAGTTGCGTTCAGTTTCCGCTCCACTGAGCGCTTTTGTTTCAGGCCGATTTGGCCTGTGGGTGCATTCACCGTGCAAATCAGTGCATCAGAAGCTGCCGGCAATATATCGCCTTGTCATACGAAGCCAGATATGCGAACTCTATGCAATGGAGGATACCGCTATTGCAAACGCTACGGCGCCATGTCAATCGATGTTTGTTTTGAGATGAAATGAGGCGTATCCACAAACGGTTTTGCAACAACGACCCGCTCTCAAGAAGCCATAATAAAACAGGCCTGACAAGGAGGATAGGGCAATAGCGATGGTAAAGAGCAACAAACATAACGCGATGGACCGGAAGGACGCACTCGGAGGTAGATTATTGCGAACGTCCGTCCAATCTGACTGAATGGTTGTGGCAAGTGCTCGGAAATACTTTCACGCTTCCTATACTATATTCGTATCTTTGCTTTAATACATATATCAGCAATTGCATTATGAAACCATGGCAACTGTTTATGTGATCGAAGAGAAACGTCAATGTTTTGTTTTTTTTTTCCAACCAGTGACTTTATATAAAAATTATTGTTGTATTATTTGTTTTCAGTAAAAATGGTCAAAAGTATGCAATTCATCGCAATTGTTTGGGTTTTAATCTTATATAATAAAATTTTTTTTTTTTTTTTTTTTTTTTTTTTTTATTATTTAAATGTAGTAACTGAAGAGCTGGTACGCAGAAAATCTGAGCACAATGAATTGCTTATTAGCACATTAGAGGAATTATCGTTGCATCAGGAGGATATCGAACGTATTGAGCATTTACAAAATTGGTGTCGAGATTTGAAAATTTTGCTCCTACAATCGAATCTTATAGCGAAAATTGAAAATGTATTCAAGTTGAAGAGTCTCGAATATCTGAATCTGGCTGTGAACAATATCGAACGTATTGAAAACTTGGAAAAATTGGAATCGTTGAATAAATTGGATTTAACATTAAATTTTATCGGTGAACTGACTTCTATTGAAAGTCTTCGCGATAATTATAATTTAAAGAATTTAATTTTAACCGGCAATCCGTGCTGTGATTATCCAAACTATCGTAAGTATGTTATAGGCACGTTGCCGCAATTGGACGAATTAGATGGTGAAGAGATTACTATAACTCATAAATTACAAGCTAAACACAATTTAAAAGAATATCGCGTTATTATTGTTCAATGTCAAATTGATTATGCAATGAAACGTGATGAACAAAAATTACGATTTCTTCAGCAAAAAGAAAATCTTGTACATCATATGTCGAGCATAGAAGATGAACATGAAAAAATGAAAACTTTTTGGGACTCGAAGAGTGAACATTGTCCCGAAATACGTTATGAAATTGCGAAATATCATCGTCAAGGTCAAGAAAAGGGAACGACAACAAAGAACGAGAAAGTATTACAAAAAAAAGTAGTGCAATTATTTGCACCTTGCGGACGTCCATACAATATGAATAAACCCCAATTACCGTTCAAGCTAAGCGATGAAGATTCCCAATATATATTAAAGTTGGATGTTTATAAGTAAGCATAAGCATAAGTTCGATCTAAAAAACACATAATCTTTTGCGATTTTTCTATTCAGATATTTGGATACATCTTATATTAAAGTTGACGTTGAAGTTAATTATATACGTGTTACGGTCAAGGGGAAAATTTTCCAAATAGCCTTAACTGAGGAAGTCAAACCGTCCGAGGCTAGCACGCAGCGCTCTCAAATTACCGGACAACTTGTCGTAAACGCCCCAAAGTTGCATATTAATGAGGCATTATCGGTGAAATCGACAAGTAAGTTGCAATATAATTATGAAATTTTTTCGTGCGAATACATAGAAGAAACACTTCAAGATTTTTATCCGTTTGGCAAAAAAAAAAATTAAGATACATTTTTCTAGGATAAAAGATTGTAAAGAAATTCGTAAATTTACTGCAACAGAGTGTAGTGATGATAGAATGTTGCAGTTGTTGGGAGGATTCGTTATATATCATTCCCTGGTAAGGGTACTTTTGGTAGGACAAGGTGTAACTTGTTTTCCTACTCTGCTCGTCATCATAAGCGCCAAGTCTGTCCGTCTCTTAAGATGCTAATAAGTCTCGGCAAGAGACGATCCCTAAAATTTAAACTCAGAAACACTGAGGGTGCAGAAACAGCTCACACATAGACATATTGGTTCATAGACTTTAGATGTTTTGAATATTAGCAGATCATAAGTAACTCTTTAACGATTGATACAGCGTTACATCAAATTGATTGAGCGCTACAAGGTACTTTCAAGGTACTTGATAAAGGTAAAGTTGTCCTCTTCCAAGCTAAAAATTTTTTTCTGAAACTCACACTCCCATAATGATAAATTTTTTGAATATTTAATCAGATTTTTATCGATAAAAGTCATTGAGTTTAACGGAAAAATCCATTAAATCTGCAGAATGCAACTCATCGACTGATTTTTATGCTCATCACCGAAGAATTTTATCATCGACTATAACTTTTTTTTTTTTTTTTACTTTTTTTGCATTTTTATGGGTGAGTAAATTAATTTTTATACCCATCACCGTAAGATGATGGGGTTATACCCATTTTGTTTTTGTTTTCCAAAAAATATATGCAACACTCAAAAGGAGACTTCAGAGATCCTATATAAAGTATACATGTTCTTGCTCGGCGTGAAATTCCGAGTTGATTTAGCCAGTTTAGCCATATTCAAAGAAAAAAAAAAAAAAAAATAGCTTTCGCCAATGGCCAATTTTTGGTATAAATACAAATGGTATAAGGCAATCCATTCATCTCAGTTTTTTGTTTTTGTTTTTTTTTTTTAGAACGATCCAATCAAACAGACGGTTCCGAAAAGTGAGTTTTCATCAAAATGTGCTAAATAATTGAATTTTATAATGTACATACATATATGTTATTTTCGCTTCAGATTATCCGAACTGAAGGGTACAGTTGATATACAGAATATCTATCAGAAATCAAATACAAGCGAAATACCACATTTAATATAAATTTGCGAAAAAATGTATTTTTTATTATTATTATATATTATTATTATTATTATTATTATTATGTATATGCATAACATTATAACTTTAATTAAAAATTATTGAAAACATATACAATTATATTACCTAACAATGATATATGGAAGAAAAATCATTATTTACATATTGACAATAAATTGTGTAAGTTTTCAATTGCGATCGTCTTTCGGGATTATCGCGATTAGTTTTCTTCTTGTCAGTAAACAAAAGTTACAGATATTTTATTATGGATGAGTCATTACGAAGTAAAAGCATCAGATGGCTGATCATCAAAAATATCTGATTCGTGTCCCGATTAAGCAAACTCTATTTATTCGTCGCTTGACTTTTGCTTGTCTATATTTTCGAAATATATTGAGATGAAATTTAGTGCATCGAGATGTTTTTGGCTCGGGGACGAACACGATTGAAAATGATACGGATTGAGCCACTTTTTTCGACGCATTATTTTAGACGGACATTGATAAAAGGAGTACACCCTCAATTCTCTTTTTATACGGTAGATCCAAATGTTCGAAACAAGTTCGCGTGAAAAAAAATATTGACTAAATGATTGTTTCCAGGCCTACAAAAACAACTAAAAAGTAGAATATATATGTTAATGTTAAAAAAATTCGTATAAGAGTTCAATTTATTTCGTGCTTACACACTTCAATTCATTAAATATATTATGAAAAATGTGTTAAGTTATACGGTGAGAGAAACAAACTAAATTGCGTAAAAAAAATACATTACGTCTTGAGTCCATATGTACACTTCGGGGAATTTCAATCATATACGCGTATAATCGAATTGTGAAAAATATGACGCGATGTTACAATGTATATTTGTGAGGAGTGAGAATGAATTTTCAATTCATAGAAACAATCAAAAAAAAAAAAAAAATTCGTAGAATATTAAAAATCGTATTAAACCAAAACAATTCGTGTAAAAAGAGAACTTTTTTTCTTTTTTAACTCGCGTTTTAAATCAAATTTTGTTTCAAAAGCAATTTGTATAAAAAGAGAGTTCGATTTATCTCCTTCTCCGTCCTTCGTTGGCCGATAAAATAACAAAAATTTTCATTTAACACATTAAGGACACCGGTGGCACACAAGCGAATGCTTATGCTTCACAGACACTATGAAGTCTTGAAAATAATTTTTTGTACATTGGTCGCAGATAATTGTTGCAGAGTTGCGTATCGCGTTTTTATAAACATTTTATGGTAAATTTTTCGATTAGTCCAACATTTGTGAAACAATAATTTCCCGATTATCAGAACGTTATAAAATGCATAATTGCGAGAAGTAAGGTGTGAATCTATGCATTAGATCCCAAAACGACTCATCGTCGAATCAAATAAATATTGTGCAAAGAGTAAATGAGGAACAAAAAATCGCGTCAAAGTCACTTAAAAGTCGAGAGTTTCTTGACAGTAATAAAACTTGATTTCACATTTTACAAATAAATTCATCAGGTTGCTTGGATTGGACATAAAAAAAGAAAAAAAGTTACTTTACGTTTGTATTAATTTTACGGTGCTAAGGTAAAGATGGCTACCGACAAAGACTCCCATAATCCCAGCCCCGAACAGCAATAATATATTTTCTCTGCAGCCGGCTTACAGCTCTCGTTTTTGAGCAAACTCGATGACGGTTTTCATTAACGAGCACTTTTTAACGGTTAGCACTTAGTACTCGATAGCTTGTCAGTGTTTATTCGATATCGAATAATAAATGTCATAAATCAAAACAACTATCAAAGTTCGTGTTCAAAGGGGAAGTAAAGTAAAATATCGGTATTAATTCAAGTAAATATTTGTTGGAAGATTATTTCAGATTATTCTCGGAAATTCCTAATTGTTGGCAAAAATAATAAAATCAAATAATTATTTTTGGTGCTGTTACCGTTGATGCCAGAAAAAAAAAAAAAAAAAATAGACGAAGAAGTATTTAGGAAACCAATGGTGGAAATATAAGATTACTAGAAACTATTTCAAAAAGTACTCTAAAAATGCGATATATAGGGTCTGTTGGTGGCGTACACAGAGTTGAATTTAATATGGAAATTATAAATATCAAGTTAAATATTAAGAAAAGAAGGATTAGACAATTTAAATAAACAGTCATATACTTGAAATTATATTTATTAAACTTTTCTTTATATGTATATATATATATATATATATTTTGTTTTGATTTCATTGATTTCAATTTTTTCACTAAATTATTTTTCAAATTTTATATTTGCTTTGGTTTATTTATACATTTCCTTTTGAAAATATCGCAAATATTCCGAATGGGAAGTCAAACGACGTCGTACGAAATAAATCGATCACTATCAATACAAAATATGATCGTAGAGTTTTCGTCTTTCGTATCGTACGAGAGCTTGACGACTTTGAGAGAAGAAGTTACTGTACATTTTTCAGAAAATCCATTTTGTTGTATTTCATAGATGCTTTGAATCTTAACAAGTAAGTGAACAATATTCGACTGTGTGATGGCTCATGCACTCTTTTGTAAAGTAATTATGCTGCTTATTGCGAACTTGTTGTTCGAATTTGGCTGCGAACTTGCCATGATTAGGTTTGAACCCTATCGATTTCATTTAAAGCATTCGCTTGTTGTAAAAGAATTTTTGTTTATTTTTCACATAAGGACGCATCTGAAACTTTTTCTTCTTTATTTGTGGTTTTAACATTGCATCAATGATTTACATTTAAATTTTGTTTATTCTTTTCTTCTAGATATGATCGCCAAAAAAAATCACAGGGCATATCTCCTATTCGTGTAGTCCCATCGTTCAGTGTTATGCCTTTACCCATCGCCATCGCCATTTTCTTAAAAAAGACCAAAAAAAAGAAGGTGAAAACTAATTTTCCATACTCTATAATATTGAGTAGGCGTGACTAATTTTAGCATCACATTCTCTCAAACTTTCGTAAAGCAAAAGCAAATACAATTCTGTGCTTTTAAGTGATGGCTCTTAGGCTATGGTATGCATATAATTTTATATATGTTTGAAAAAACAGAGAAAACAGCAGTAACTATGTAGCAAATATAATTTGATTTCTTCCCTTCGCTTATTTCATTCATACACATTGAAGAATTCCAAAGTTTATGTTCGCCAAATGGTTCGGGAAGTTTCAGTGAAAATTTTCATGAAAAGATTTTTTATTAAATAAAATTATGTTGCAGTTTATTATACATATCTTTAATAAATTTACTTCTTATATATATATATATACATTTACATTTAATTTGCTTACACATATACACATTTTATTTAATTTTCGATATCACATATGTGTTATTCTACACGGCGTCCATTCATATTTAATTATTATTATTTATAGTCCAGAAGTAGAAAATTAAATAAATGAATAATAAAATATTAAAATCTGGTCAGTCCTTAATTTTAGTTTAGCGCAATTTGAAATGGTTTTTAATCAAGAATTTAAAATTCTTGTATAATAAGACGCTTAACGTAGAGACCAGTAAGTGGCATCTAAGCTCGCTGCAGTTATCGTTCTTGATAAACCAAACATTCGTTGCCTCCATAATATTTATCAAAACTTAGTTTCCTTATACTCGATTTACGTTTTTTTTTTTTTTTTTTTTTTTTGATAATATTCCTATGCGTACATTTCATAACGGTGTCATTATATATTAATTGTTTCATCATTGGAGTTTTGCGGATGTTACGTATCTATTGCAATAATTTCGGCATTTTTAGGACATATCATTACTTTTTCCCATTTTTCCTAACCCAATGTATGTAGGAATGTTTTTCCTCACTTGATATTTGCCGCAAATTTTTGTTAACGCAGCGACTTATTGCGTCGATAGTCGATAGATAAGAAAGCAAGCATGGCAATCGGGACCATTGATTGCTAATAATTTGCCTCGGCCTCGAATGTTTACGGCACCGACTTTTCCCCCTTTCCTTGTCTTTTTGAGTTTTTTGCTGTTCCTGTTTTTGTTTTTTTCCTTGTTTTGGCCGCTCTTTCTGTTTTTCCACTTCGTCTAGCATTACTTCATCTGATCCAGGAAGATATTCACATAAATTGCTCTTACCACATATATTATAGAGAATGAAAATTTAGTTCTTTTACTTTTTTTGGCTTTTTTTTCTATACTGTGGGATACTGAAAAAAAAAGGAATTGTTTTACACTATGGCATTGTAGGCATGGTGAATTTGTTCCTTTTTTTAGACGTACTGCAGCATTACCAGTATCCACAAAATTATATCGAAGATGCAATCCCTAAGTGTAATAATAGACAGAATGTTAAAAACAAATGAAAAATTCTAATGTCATTATGAAAATCATATATTTATGTTATATTTTA